GTCTTTCCTTCTTTCTCTCATTCCTTCCTTCTATCCTTTCTCTTCCTCCTTTTCTTCCTCCCTTCCCTCTTTCCTCTCTCCTTCCTTCCTTCCCTCCCTCCCTCTTTCTCCTTCCTTCCTTCCTTCCTTCCTTTCCTTTTATCTTTCCTCACTTTTCCCTCCCTACCTTCTTTCCTTCCCTCCTTCTTTCTCTCTCCCTCCATTCCCTTCCACCCTTTTGTCTTTCCTTCTTTCTCTCATTCCTTCCTTCTATCCTTTCTCTTCCTCCTTTTCTTCCTCCCTTCCCTCTTTCCTCTCTCCTTCCTTCCTTCCCTCCCTCCCTCTTCTCCTTCCTTCCTTTCTTCTTCCTTCCTTCCTTCCTCCTTTTCTTTCTCCTTCCCTCCTCCTTCTTCTTCTTTTTTCCTTCCTTCTTCTTTCTCTCTCCCTCCATTCCCTTCCACCCTTTTGTCTTTCCTTCTTTCTTCCTTCCTTTCTTCTTTCTCTCCTCTTTCTTTCCCCTTCCCTCTTTCCTCCTCCTTCCCTCTTCCTCTCTCCCTCTTTCTCCTTCCTTCCTTCCTTCCTTCCTTCCTTCCTTCCTTCCTTCCTTTCCTTTTATCTTTCCTCACTTTTCCCTCCCTACCTTCTTTCCTTCCCTCCTTCTTTCTTTCTCTCTCCCTCCATTCCCTTCCACCCTTTTGTCTTTCCTTCTTTCTCTCATTCCTTCCTTCTATCCTTTCTCTTCCTCCTTTTCTTCCTCCCTTCCCTCTTTCCTCTCTCCTTCCTTCCTTCCCTCCCTCCCTCTTTCTCCTTCCTTCCTTCCTTCCTTCCTTCCTTCCTTCCTTCCTTCCTTCCTTCCTCACTTTTCCTCCAGCTCCCTCCTTCTTTCTCTCTCCCTCCATTCCCTTCCACCCTTTTGTCTTTCCTTCTTTCTCTCATTCCTTCCTTCTATCCTTTCTCTTCCTCCTTTTCTTCCTCCCTTCTCGTTTTCCTTCCTTCTTTCCTTACTTCAATTCTTCCCTTCCATCCTTTCATCCTTCCTTCCCTTTTGTCTTTCCTTCCTTCTGTCTTCCCTTCCCCTCCAATAATATATAGAGAGGCATTGGGATATAGACACAGGGCATTCCAATAATGTATGGAGACACTGGCACATAGGCAGAGGGCACTCCAATAACCTATGGGGACAATGGCACGTAAGCAAAGGCTTCTCCAATGATATATATGGACATTGGCACATAGGCAAAGGGACAATCGCACATAAGCAAAGCCTACTCCAACAATATATATAGACATTGACATATAGGCAAAGGGCACTACAATCATATAGAGAGAGACATTGGGATATAGGTGCAGGTCATTCCAATAATAGGTAGGGACATTGGCATCTGTATTGGACCTGAATCTAGACAAATAGAGGAGAGCACAAAGCCTTGTTGTGTCTTCTCTTTGTTACTTCTGAAGTTGCTTTTGGAGCTGTGTTGCTTCTCTGTGTTCCTGCAACGAGGAGGAGGAAGAGGAGGAGGTCCCTGAAGGCCAAGCCAGGCCGGGTGCTTGGCCTTGAACACTTTGTCCTGGATGTTTTCCTCCATTTGCGAGATGCATTTGAAGCCTCCGGGCAAAAGCAGACAAACTGGCGGGGAAGGAAAAAGGGCGCTTTTGAGCCTCCCTGCCCCTCCTTCTGGGCTGCCGTATCAGGTGCTTTGGTTGTGCTTTTCTGTTGTGGCCGAAGGGGGTTGGACTGGATGCCCTCTGGGGTCCCTTCCCACTCGAGGATCCTATGACACTCAAAGAGGCTCACAATAAAAACCGAGATGCAATATAATTCCAAAGGGGATTGTGTCCCATGTGCAACGTCAATGCTCCTTTGGAGGCCCTTGCAATAAGCATCGGGAGGCGCCCGTCTCTGCAGACAGACGTTTGCATGGATATCTGTGCCAATGGGGCGAGGGGTGCCCCCATTCTGCCACGGCTGCCGCTAAGCCAGCTTGACACATCATGTCAAGAGCGTGTTGTGCGCCTTGGCTGGAAGGCGCACAACACTCGCAGCCCCGTCGAGGGTGTTCCTGGCTGTGTCTGGAGCAAGGAGCGGGCCGGGACGCTTTCCGTTTTTAGTAACCACCAATTTCCCCAGTTTGCCTTGAGATGGGCAAGGGGGAGCGGTGCCAGCGCGGCGGCGGAGCGCATTCCTCCTCCCTCCGCAACCAACGTTGTGGGCCTGGCTCTTGGGGCCAGGAGTGGGCCTCGCCCATCATGCCCTTGAAGGGTGGGTCGCAGCTGCTGGACTTGGGTTTCGCCCATCTCCACCCATCACAGAACCACAGAACCTTAGCATTGGAAGGGACCTCCAAGAGCCATCCAGTCCAACCCTCTTCCAAGCAGGAAGGCACCATCCAAGCCTTCCCGACAAATGGCCATCCAGCCCATCCCAGAATTATGGAGTCTTAGGATTCTAGGATTGGAAGGGACCTCCAAGAGCCATCCAGTCCAACCCTTTTCCAAACAGGAAGGCAACATCAAAGCCCTCCCGACAAATGGCCATCCAACCCATCATCCATTATGGAGTCTTAGGATTCTAGAATTGGAGAAGACCCCAAGGGTCATCCAGTCCTATCTTTATTTTTGCCAGGAAGGAAGGCACAATCAGAGCCCTCCTGACAGATGGCCATCCAGTCCATCGTACCATTATAGAATCTTAGGATCCTAGCATTGGAAGGGACCTCCCAGAGCCATCCAGTCCAACCCTCTTCCAAGCAGGAAGGCACCATCAAAGCCTTCCCGACAAATGGCCATCCAACCCGTCATCCATTATGGAGTCTTAGGATTCTAGCATTGGAGAAGACCCCAAAGGTCATCCTGTCCTACTTTTTGCCGGGAAGGAAGGCACAATCAGAGCCCTCCCGACAGATGGCCATCCAGTCCATCGTACCATTATGGAATCTTAGCATCCTAGCATTGGAAGGGACCTCCCAGAGCCATCCAGTCCAACCCTCTCCTAGCAGGAAGGCACCATCCAAGCCTTCCCGGCAAATGGCCATCAAGCCCATCACAGCATTATGGAGTCTTAGGATTCTAGCATTGGAGGAGACCCCAAAAGTCATCCAGTCATATCATTTTTTTGCCAGGATGGAAAGCACAATCAGAGCCCTCCTGACAGATGGCCATTCAATCCATAATAGAATTATAGTCCCCAAGGGCCATCCAGTCCCTTGGGGGTCTCTTCCAATGCTAGGATCCTAAAGCTAGGATCCTAAAATTTCATAATGCTATGACAGGCTGGATGGCCATCTTTAAAGAGGATTCTGATTAGGCCTTCCTGCCTGGCAGAAGGGGGTAAGACTGAATGACCCTTGGGGTCTCCTCCAATGCTAGGATCCTAAGATTCCATAATGCTATGATGGGCTGGATGGCCATCTGTTGGGAGGGTTTGGTTGGTGCCTTCCTGCCTGAAATGCTAGAAAGAGACCCCAAGGGCCATCCAGAGCAACCCCTTTCTGCCAGGCAGGGAGGCACTATCAAACCCCTCTGGACAGAGACCCATCCTGCCTTGCTCTACCACCAAGAAGATGTAGAGTCTGGAGGTTCCTGGGTTCCACCCCAGCCTTGCATAAGAAGGGACTGCCACACTCTTAGCCTGGTGGTGCCAGTCCCTTCTCTCTCTGTGTGTTTTCTTTTCTTTTTTTGGGGGGGGGGGTGTAAACATTTAGCGCAGAGGCACCCAGAGCAGAGAGTGTCATTGAATGGCACAGGAGGCCAGTGTGGGCTTGTCAGGCATCCAAGAGCATCCCTCCTTCTCTCCTCCAAGTGCTGCAGGCTGCATTTGGCCCCAGTGCAGGCAAGCCCTGCCCCAGAGACAGTCAGTGGAGGTCTTTGCATCCTGCCCCCAATGGAATGGGCTTCAAGGAGAGTGCAAGCTCCCTTTGGCAGCCCCAGGGCCCCTTCTTGGTCTGATCCCATTTTTGATATTGATTTCTATTTCAGTACAAAATGCAATTGGCAACATTTTCGATATTGATTTCTATTTCAATGCAAAATGCAATTGGCAACATTTTCAGTATTTATTTCTATTTCAATACAAAATGCAATTGGTAACATTTTCGATATTTATTACTATTTCAGTACAAAATGCAATTGGCAACACTTTCAATATTTATTTCAATACAAAATGCAATTGTCAACATTTTCAATATTTATTCCTATATCAATACACAATGCAATTAGCAACATTTTCTATATTACTATTTTAATACAAAATGCAGTTGGCAACACTTTCAAAATTTATTTCTATTTCAATACAAAATGCAATTAGCAACATTTCCAATATTTATATCTATTTCAATGCAAAATGCAATTGGCAACATTTTCGATATTGATTTCTATTTCAATGCAAAATGCAATTGGCAACACTTTCAATATTTATATCTATTTCAATGCAAAATGCAAGCGGCAACATTTTCGATATTGATTTCTATTTCAATGCAAAATGCAATTGGCAACACTTTCAATATTTATATCTATTTCAATGCAAAATGCAATTAGCAACACTTTCGATATTTATTTCTATTTCAAGACAAAATGCAATTAGCAACATTTTCCATACTTGTATCCCTCGGAGCCAGGTGCTTCTCCTAAAAGTGGTTTATCTTGTCTTAAAACCCAAACAATTCCAAAAAAAGAACATCCATTTTACTGGGCAGTTGTAGGTTTTTTCGGGCTGTATGGACATGTTCTAGTGGCATTCTCTCCTGACGTTTCGCCTGCATCTATGGCAAGCATCCTCAGAGGTAGCGAGGTCTGTTGGAACTAGGAAAGTGGGCTTATATACCTGTGGAATGACCAGGGTGGGACAAAGGACTCTTGTCTGTTGGAGCTAGGTGTGAATGTTTCAACTGACCACCTTGATTAGAATTTGATGGCCTGGCAGTGCCTGGGGGAATCTGCCACCGGAAGGTTCTGCTGTTGCTCGAGGCTCCTTTTGTCATTCCTTCATTCCTTCCATGACTCCTTTCTCTTTTTCTCTCTTGCAGGGTGCATGATCTGCCTGGGCCAGTCGACCTTCCTCCGTTTCAATCACCCAGCGGAGGCAAAGTGGATGAAAAGCATGATTCCGGTCGGGGGCCGAAGCCCGGCTTCCCCTTATGGGCTCCTGGCAGGTGAGGAGGCTCTTCGGGATTATGGAGGTCCAAAACACCTTTGCCCATGCCTGATCTAGCCGATATTCTTGACCCTTCTCTAGCCCTTCTTTCCAAGACTCCCAGTCACTTTATACCTTCTCCGTAGTGGGTTGTTGTGGGGGTTTTTTCGGGCTATATGGCCATGTTCTAGAGGCATTCTCTCCTGACGTTTCACCTGCATCTATGGCAAGCATCAGACCTCACAACCTCTGAGGATGCTTGCATGGATGCAGGCAAAACGTCAGGAGAGAATGCCTCTAGAACATGGCCATATAGCCCGAAAAAACCCACAACAACCCAGTGATTCCGGCCATGAAAGCCTTCAACAATACTTCTCCGTAGTATCAGCTTCTCTCTGGTTTTCTTCATTAATCCTTCAAACTTAGAATCTCAGTCTCCAACAGCTCAACACTCTGACGACGACAACAACAACAACAGCAATACTAGCAATAACAACAACAACAACTCTAACAGAGAAGCTTGTGCTTTAATATTACTCTTTGAGCTACCCCACCCTGGCTGTAAATTATTTGGGATTTTGTTTAAGTTAGAAAGGTTTTTATACACTGTTTTAAATTATACTAATTTTATGTAAATTTTTATAATTATATGTATTTTACAGTATATTGCATATTCTGTTGCACTACTACATGCTTTTGTAAGCCACCCGAGTCCCTTTTGGGAGATGATGGTGGGATATAAATTAAATTGTTGTTGTTGTTGTTGTTGTTATCATTATCATTATTGCTCAAGGCTAACCAGGGGATTAAATCTTTAATGCTTGCTGCTGGGGTGGTCCTGATCCTTATAATTACTTATTGTCACTCTAGAAATGATGGAATGTTGTAAAAACTGGCAATAAAAAAACAACAACAATACAAAATGGACAAGGACAAAACATGGATGTGGCTCACAAATGGAACTTGGAAAAAGGAGACCAAAGACCTGATTTTTGCAGCCCAAGAACATGCCATTAGAACCAATGCTATCCAAGAAAGAATTGAAAAGTCAACTATAGATCCCAAGTGTAGACTCTGCAAGGAAGCAGGTGAAACGATGGATCACATCCTCAGCTGCTGCAAGAAGATTGCGCAGACGGACTACAAGCAGAGGTACAACACCGTTGCTCAGATGATTCATTGGAACTTGGGCCACAAAGACCATCTGCCTGCTACAAAGAACTGGTGGGATCACAAACCAGAAAAAGTTACGGAACATAAACATGTCAAACTCCTCTGGGACTTCTGAATTTAGACTGACAGAGTTTTGGAGCATGAGACACCTGACCTCACAATCATGTTAAAAAACAAAGTATGGATCGTCGATGTTGCAATCTCAGGTGACAGACAGCAGGATTGACAAGAAGCAAAAATGATGTTACATGGTGTAACAACAACAACAACAACAATACTAATAATATTTCAATCCCAGGTGACAGCAGAATGAACAAGTAGCAACCGGAAAAGCTTATACAATATGTGGACTTAAAGATAGAAACACAAAGACTCTGGCACAAGCCAGCCAAGGTGGTCCCAGTGGTGGCTGGCACACTGGGTGCAGTGCCTCAAGACCTTGGCCTGCACTTGAAAACCATAGGCACTGACAAAATTACTACCTGTCAGCTGCAAAAGCTGCTTAGCCGGTATTGCACCACCTGACACCCGCCGGGAAGTAGCAGCCAATAGTGAATGGACCAAGGCAGAGACATCTCCAGCTCATCTCCTTTTGGGTATCAGCCAGCATGTCAACGACTTAAATCAAGAAATAGTTTTTTAAGATCTACAGTTGGAACACCTCAGCAAGCGAGAGTCCAAAAGTGGCAGGCTCAAACCCAGAACCTCAATCCGTGGCTGATACAAATGAGAGACTCTCCCCTGGGCACACAGAAAACTGGGCAACTTGGAAGGCGCTGAACAGACTGCGCTCTGGCACCACGAGATGCAGAGCCAACCTTAAGAAATGGGGCTACAAAGTGGAATCCACAACATACGAGTGTGGAGAAGAGCAAACCACTGACCACCTGCTGCAATGCAACCTGAGCCCTGCCACATGCACAATGGAGGACCTTCTTGCAGCAACATCAGAGGCACTCCAAGTGGCCAGATACTGGTCAAAGGACATTTAATCAACTACCAAACTCACAAATGTTGTATTTTGTCTGTTTGTTTGCTTTCTGTTAGAAATGTAATATAATTGACTGGTTGCCCTGACACGACAAAAAAAAAAAAAAAATAGAGCTGCAAAAGGCCACCCTACTTGGGTTGTTGTAGGTTTTTTCGGGCTATATGGCCATGTTCTAGAGGCATTCTCCCCTGACGTTTTGCCTGCATCTATGGCAAGCATCCTCAGAGGTAGTGCGGTTGCTTGCTATAGATGCAGGTGAAACGTCAGTAGAGAATGCCTCTAGAACATGGCTATATAGCCCAAAAAACCTACAACAACCCTGTGATTCGGGCCATGAAAGCCTTTGACAATACCACCCTACTCGGATCTGCACGCATTATTTGCCGATACTTCACATAGTCCTAGACACTTGGAAGTGTCCAACGTGTGATCCAATACAACAGCCAGCAGAGCGGTCTTGTTTGCTATGTAGTAACCTTGTAGTAATCAAATGATGATGATGATGATGATAATGATAATGATAGTAATAATATAACAGGTGTTTCCTCCTTCCTGTCTTGCAGTGAACGGCAACCCGGAGTCGGGCAAGGGCTCCCGAGGCGCCAGCCACAGCCTCCTGGTGAGCTCCATCGAGCGGGACTTGCAGGACATCATGGACTCCTTGGCGTTGGAGGATGAGGGGGGCCCCATTCTGCCCTCACCAGACACTTCCACGGCCAACGGTGGGCAACGGGGGGCCCGCTTGCTGCTCTCCCCGCCCCAGAGTCCCGGAGCCATGTCGGTGGGCTCCAGCTATGAGAACGCCTCCCCGCCCTTCTCGCCCCTCTCCTCCCCGGCCAGCAGCAGCAGCTGCGCTAGCCATTCACCTGCTGGCCAGGAGCAGGGCCCACCTGTGGTGCCTACTCGCTCTTCCAGCTTCAACCACACCATGCTGACGCCCCGTGGAGTGCCCCCAACGGACCTGGGCAGACCACGGGCCATGCAGGAGGGACCCCGCAGCCCCAAAGGCCGGCTATCGACGGAGAGCCCCCGACCCGGCCAGCACACAGAAACACCGCCCCCCGGTAGCCCCCGCCTGGCCCCCAAGTTCCAGGCACCACGGACATTGCAGGAGAGGCCCCCCAGCCCTTCCCGGAGACCCCTTGCGTCCGCGGAGCCATCCGTCCGCGTGCTGCTGCCCCCGGAAAGCCCCCGCTTAGGTCGTCGTACCTTGGAGGGCAAGCTTCCCCCTGTCAGCCCAGCCCTCTCCCGACGGGCAGCCTCTCCGGCCACTAACGCCCGCAGCAGCCCTTCTGTGCCCTCCAGGGTCAGCGAGAGCCCCGTCGCGTGGCGGAGGGAGGCCCACGAAGACTTTTCCGGTGGACTCCGTGCCCGCAGCCCGTCGCCCTCCCAGCAGAAGGGTCGCCTGAGGCCCGGCCTGAGTCCGGCGGCCAGCCTGGGGTCATTGGCGCTACCGTCGTCATCATCCTCCTCACCATGCCATAGTCCTCGCCTGCGCCGCAAGTTGTCCTGCGGAGAGGCGCAAGTGGCGGGATTTCCCATGCGGGAGCGCAAGCAGAGCATCTCGGAACTGAGCGGCAACGAGGGAGAGCTGTTGGAGTACCACCGTTGGCAGCGGCAGGAGCGGATGCGGGAGCAGGAGATGGAGCGCCTGGTGAGTGGGGTTCAAGGGAGATCAATGGGATTGTTTACATCCGGCATGGGCCAACTTGGGCCCTCCCTCCAGGTGTTTTGGACTAACTCCCACCATTCCTAACAGTCTCAGGCCCCTTCCTTTTGTGAGGTAAACCTCAGTGTGAGAGAAGCCTCGTGTGAGAAAGCTCCAGTGTCAAGCTACTATGTGTCTGTATATTTGTGTTATGGCCATGATGGTGAACCTATGACACGCATGTCAGCATTGACACCATGGCTATTTTTGATGACACGCAGACACATGTGGCCACATACAGAGAAGTACACCTTATAAGAGCCAATCTAATTCCATCCTTAAATTTGTAAAAGGCTCTACAAATTTAACATCTGCACGTTTGAGCATTGTTCACCCCATAACTCAGCATGGATTATACATTTCTCTTATTTAAACTATAAATATTGCAAAATTATGTTTTTTTTCTTGACGTGACACTCCACCCAAGTTATGCTCAGGTTTTTGGCAAATTTTGACACACCAAGCTCAAAAGGTTGCCCATCACTGTGTTATGGAAACCTGATTTTTGTAAACAGTTCAAGCATATTATGGCCGACAAAGGGGTGCAAGGAAGATCAGTGGGATTGTTTACATCCAGCATGGGCCAACTTGGGCCCTCCCTCCAGCTGTTTTGGACTTTAACTCCCACCATTCCTAACAGTCTCAGCCTCTTTCCTTTTGTGAGGTAAACCTCAGTGTGAGAGAAGCCTCGTGTGAGAAAGCTGCAGTGTGAAGGCTGCTGCGTGTAAAGCTACTATGTGTCTGTATATTTGTGTTATGGAAACCTGATTTTTGTAAATAGTGCAACAATATTATTAAAGGAAAGGGCCCGAGGCTGTTAGGAATGGTGGGCATGGGCCAACTTGGGCCCTCCCTCCAGGTGTTTTGGACCTCAACTCCCACCATTCCTAACAACCTCCGGACCTTTCCTTTTGTGAGGTAAACCTCAGTGTGAGAGAAGCCTCGTGTGAGAAAGCTCCAGTGTGAAGGCTGCTCCATGTAAAGCTACTATGTGTCTGTATATTTGTGTTATGGAAACTTTATTTTTGTAAATAGTGCAACCATATTATTAAAGGAGAGGGCCTGGCGCTGTTAGGAATGGTGGGAGTTGAAGTCCAAAACACCTAGTTGGCCCATGCGTCCTCTACGTACTACTTTGCACATGCATCTTTGCCAAGAGGGAACCTTTGTCTGTCCAGGGTGGAGCAAGGCTGCCTTGTGCCAGTGGACGGCCAGGCACTGACTCACATGTGTGTCTTGTTTGCACAGCTTGTGTGATTCACAGACCAGAAATAGGTTGTTGTTGGTGTGTGTGTGTGTGTCTGTGCGCGCTCACAGTGGGGCCCGCACCCTGCCATTAGCCGTCTGGCTGCCTCTCGGTCACGTGGCTCTGGCGCCCACCAAGACAGAAGGAGCGGGGAGGCTCCGGCTCTGGGCTTTCCTTGGGGAGAAGCCAGACAATGGGGGCCACTCAGGACGGAGGAGGCAGCGGATACAGAACCGTGAGTCCCTTGCGGGAGGTTTGCTCTCAAAAATCAGGGAAGTTCACCGGAGGCAACAGGCAAAACTGTGCCTTGCAGGGAGAGAGTTTTGCAGGGAGGGCAGGAAAGTTGGAGAAAGTTTTGCCGATGGAAAGAGAGGCTGGTTGGCCATCTGTCAAGGGTTCTTTGATTGTGCATTTCCTGCATCATGGCAGAAGGAAAGGGGTTGTCTTCCAACTCTGGGATTCTATGGTGCCGTCTTGGAAGGTTTCTCTCCCTGGGAATTCCCCCATTTACTCACTCCGTGTTCAGAGGTAGCCCAGCTGGGAGGAGGGGGGGTCTGCCTTTGTCTTTGCTGCTGTTTCTCACTTATTATCATCATCATCATCATCATCATCATCATCATCATGACATAAGGACACAGCGCACATGTTTCTGGATATCGGGCTCTTCCCAAGGGCCAAGGATATTAGATATATTTATTACTAGCTGCCCCCTGCCACACGGTTCTGTGGCCCACATGGGAGGTTTGACCCAATTCTATCATTGGTGGGGTTCAGAATCCTCTTTGACTGTAGGTGAACTATAAATCCCAGCAACTACAACTCCCAAATGTCAAGATTCTATTTTCCCCAAACTCCACATTTGGGCATATTGCGTATTCGTGTAGAGTTTGGTCCAGATCCATCATTGTTTGAGTCCACAGTGCTCTCTGGATGTAGGTGAACTACAACTCCAAAACTCAAGGTCAATGCCCACCAAACCCTTCCAGTATTTTCTGTTGGTCATGGGAGAACTGTGTGCCAAGTTTGGTTCAGTTCCATCGTTGGTGGGCATCAGAATGTTCTTTGATTGTAGGTGAACTATAAATCCCAGCAACTACAACTCCCAAATGTCAAGATTCTATTTTCCCCAAACTCCATCAGTGTTCACATTTGGGCATATTGAGTATTTGTGCAGAGTTTGGTCCATCATTGTTTGAGTCCACAATGATCTCTGGATGTAGGTGAACTACAACTCCAAAACCAAAGGACACTGCCCACCAAACCCTTCCAGTATTTTCTGTTGGTCATGGGAGAACTGTGTGCCAAGTTTGGTTCAATTCCATTGTTGGTGGGGTTCAGAATGCTCTTTGATTGTAGGTGAACTATAAATCCCAGCAACTACAACTCCCAAATGACAAAAGCAAATTTTATGAGTGAAGGACATACATTGGGTTGTTAGGTGTCTTGTGTCCAAATTTGGTGTCAATTCGTCCAGTGGTTTCTGAGTTCTCTGAATACCACAAACGAACATTACAATTTTATTTATATAGATTGGGTTGCTGTAAGTTTTTAGGGCTGTATGACCATATTCCAGGAACATTCTCTCCTGACGTTTCGCCTGCATCTATGGCAGGCAACCTGAGGATGTCTGCCATAGATGCAGGTGAAGCGTCAGGAGAGAATGCTCCTGGAACATGGTCATACAGCCCTAAAAACTTACAGCAACCCAGTGATTCCGGCCATGAAAGCCTTCGACAATATTTGTTGTTGTTGTTATACTATACACACACACACATATATATATACACACACTCACATGCCTCTTCAAATTCTGCAGCACTGCTTGTCACAGCTGACCTCCAGCTGGAGTGCTCAAGGGCCAGGGCTTCCCAGTTCTCAGTGTCTATGTAATATTTATTATTGTTGTTCTGTTGTAATATATTATCTATCTATATATATAAATGCTCTGTGCATAATGAGTACCTTAAAAACAAAAGAACCAATGAACGAAATCACACCAAATTTGGCAACAAAACATCTCACAACACAAGGAGTGACCATCACTCAAAAATTATGATTTTGTCATTTGGGAGTTGTAGTTGCTGGGATTTATAGTTCACCTACAATCAAAGAGCATTCTGAACTCCATCAAAGTTGGAATTGAACCAAACGTGGCACACAGTTCTCCCATGACCAACAGAAAATATTGGAAGGGTTTGGTGGGCAGTGTCCTTTGGTTTTGGAGTTGTAGTTCACCTACATCCAGAGAGCACTGTGGACTCAAACAATGATGGATCTGGACCAAACTTGGCTACAAATACTCAATATGCCCAAATGTGAACACTGGTGGAGTTTGGAGAAAATAGATCTTGACATTTGGGAGTTGTAGTTGCTGGGATTTATAGTTCACCTACAATCAAAGCATTCTGAACCCCACCAACAATAGAATTGGGCCAAACTTCCCATACAGAAACCCCATGGGAAAAAATCGTGTTACGTGGTAAGTTAATAATAATGATAATGATAATAATAATAATAATAATAATAATAATAATAATAATAATAAATACCTCTACTATCCTCGGCCCTTGGGAAGATCCCAATATTGAGAGACGAACCCCAGACACTCGGACCTAATGTGCGTGTGTGCTGTGTTGATATGTGCAAATAAATCTAGAGTAATAATAATAATTCTGGGCAAAGTGCTGTGTGTGTGTCAATGTCCCCTTGAGCCACTGAAGGGTCCCATAGTGGGGGGGGGGGGCGGCAGTGTTATTTCTCCTTGGCTCTTGGGGGTGTCCTTATGTGATGCTGTGCAAGCAATGTATCCCAAGCCAGGAGAGACCCTCCTCTTTGCTCACGATCTCCCTTTCTTGACTCAGGAGCGCCAGCGCTTGGAGACCATCCTCAGCTTGTGTGCCGAGTACACGCGTGGCGATGACGGTGATGACGGCGTCGACCATCCTTCCCGCGAGCGCTGCCCCTTCCCCAGCGGAGCCGAGGTGCAGCCGCTGCCGAGGAAGAGGCGGCCCTGCGTGAGCCCCCCGAGCCTTGGGCGCCCCAAGGAGGAGCGGTTGGGGGGACCCCCGAGAGAAAGGGAGGGGCCGGAGCGCTGCGAGGAGGACCACCTCAAGGAGGAGGAGAGCAGCAGCACCGAGAGCGCAGGCCACGAGGTGGGATATGGGGCCAAGTGTTGCTCTATAACGCCATAACTATGAGTTAGCATTATGGGGTGGCAGTTGCTCCAGGGTTAGGCAGCAATGGAGGAGCAAAGAAAGGATATACAACTTACTTACTTAGGCAATCCGTCGATGTCCAAGTAGGATGGTCTTCCAAGGTCGGTGTTCTGGTGGGTCCGTAGGTGACTGAGGAGCCCTGTTCTTGATTTGCATCTTCTCCCGCAGTGAGGGCATCGGTTTCCAGGTGGAAGGCGGTCTCGTTGGGGTTGGCTTGACACGCCTTCCTTTTGGCACATTTATCTCTTTCGCCTTCCATTCGTGCCTCTTCAAATTCTGCAGCACTGCTGGTCACAGCTGACCTCCAACTGGAACACTCAAGGGCCAGGGCTTCCCAGTTCTGAGTGTCTATGCCAGAGTTTTGAAGGTTGGCTTTGAGCCCATCTTTAAATCTCTTTTCCTGTCCACCAACATTATGTTTTCCATTCTTGGGTTTGGAGTAGAGCAACTGCTTTGGGAGACGGTGGTCAGGCATCTGGACAAGATGGCCGGTCCAGTGGAGTTGATGGCGGAGGACCATCGCTTCAATGCTGGTGGTCTTTGCTTCTTCCAGCACGCTGACATTTGTCCGCTTGTCTTCCCAAGAGATTTGCAGGATTTTCCAGAGGCAGCGCTGATGGAATCGTTCTAGGAGTTGCATGTGACATCTGTAGACAGTCCATGTTTCTCGGGCGTATAGCAGGGTTGGGAGGACAATAGCTTTATAAACAAGCACCTTGGTCTCTCTACGGATGTCCCGGTCCTCAAACACTCTCTGCTTCATTCGGAAAAAAGCTGCACTTGCAGAGCTCAGGTGACAGGCATGCACCAACTTTGGCCCTCACCCCTCCAGCCCTGGTGCTTCTCCCGTTTTGAGCTCTTTGCAGCTTCCAAATCATCTCCTCCTTCCATAGAACAGCTCCATCCCAAGAGGGCAGAAGGGAGGTTTAGAAACTGGATACCAAAATAGTCCTTCCTCTGGGCATGGCACACATGGAAAATAGAGCACAAGGGAGTGCTAGAACCGAAGAGGTGAGTTTAGACTATGCATGGGCCAACTTTGGCCTTCCCTCCAAGTGTTTTGGACTTCCACCATTCCTAAGAGGCTGAGGAGAAAAAGGAAGGAGCTTGAGGTTGTTAGGAATGGTGGAAATCCAAAACACCTGGAGGGAGGGTCAAAGTTAGTCCATGCCTGAGCGAAAAGGCACAGCACCCCTCTGTCTCTCCCGCAGCATGAGGAGCCCCATGGCAGCCGGGGTAGCCGGGAGGCAGCACAGGCGGCGCTGCTGGAGGAGGAGCGTGCCCGCGTCTTGGCCTCCGCTGACCGCCTCAAGAGCCGCGCCAAGGAGCTGGAGCAGCAGCTGCAGGAGACGGCCCGAGAGGTGAGTGCTTGGGCAAGTGGTGGGCATCCTCCGGGGACGGAAGGGCATCACCGCCCATTCTCCCCTTCTGCCGTCCTTTGCCAGGCGGAGATGGAGCGGGCTCTCCTGCAAGGGGAGCGCGAGGCGGAGCTGATCCAGATGCAGCAGGAGCAGAAGGCCGTCCAGCACCTGCAGGAGAGGCTCTCTGGGCTGGACGCCTCCATCCGCCGGGACCGGGACATGGTGAGCGGCTCCTATGCATCCCAATGTGTCGCTCAGGATGGCCGATGATTCCGGCCACTCCGGCTTCTTGTCTCTCTGCTTTTGGGGAACTGCCAGGATGCCCTTTCTTGGTGGAAGGAGGGACTCCCTTTGTCCAGACTACGGTGGTCTTTGGGGCTCTGCTCAGTGGGGAAGTGGGCATCCTTTGCCCCTTCTTTGCCTTGTCCTTCGCTGGGAGACCAACTCTTGCCGCTGCTCTCCGGATGAGACCTGCTCTTGAAGTGGGCTTCTCAGCAACGTCCAGCTGCCTCTCCCTCGCAGGCCTTCTTCTCCCGGATCGTGGGTTTCGTGCCCGGCCGCCTGCCTCCCACCTTTGCTCTCCGGCGGGAGCCGGAGGGAAGCACATGCACGGAGGCCACTAACTGCCCGCTTATACTAACCACTCTAACCCCGTGCCACGCTCACTCTCTCCTCTCCTTCTCTTTCTCTCTTTCTCACTGATGTGGTTCCGCTTTGCCTGCGACAGGGAGAGGGTGGTCCAGGTGTCACACCTCCTCCTCCTCCCATGTTGGAGAGAAGACCAGGTGGGGATTAAGGTGGGCTGCTGCAGGGGTGGGGGTCTGCCGTTCTCACAGCATCAGGTATAGGCAAGTGAGGGCCACGGCAGCATCCTCCCCACAGAAAACACTTTGTGGCCACCAACGTATCTGGGTTCGTTTCTTCCGCATCCCTTTCAAGGAAGCCGTGAGTCCTGGGCTTTCCCTTGAGCTCAGACTCCATGCCCCAGACCAGACCTTGCTTGCCAACCCACACTCCTGCAGCTTGTGTACATTATGCAAATCTGCACCCTTTTTTAAAAAAAACAAAAACAAAACAGGTTTTGCATAATTAGCTTTGATCACTTTTGCATGGCTAATTGTACTGTCCTGGGGAGGGAAAGCCTTCAGGAGGGACTTTCCTCCATTCGGAGAGATCTTGGCAGGAGTTTCCAGAAGTGCTTTTTTAAAAAACATATCTGGAGCGACTTGAGAAATGGCTTCTGGTGTGAGAGAATGGCTGTCGGCAAGGACGTTGCCTGTGGGAGGCTTCTCTCATGTCCCCACATGGGGTGCTGGAGCTGACAGAGGGAGCTCAACCTGCTCCCCGAATTTGAACTGCCAACCATGTCGGTCAGCAGTCCTGTTGGCACAAGAGTTTAACCCATTGCGCTACGGGGAGTTCCTCCAGAAGTGCTGCCTTTGAGGCTCAATTCAGTAGAAGGGCCAGATACAGTAGAGTCTCGCTTATCCGACATTCCGTCTTATCCAACGCCCCCCTTTTCCTCCAGCATTTCCCCTTCAATTAAAAGAGGCAGGACCGGAAGTGGAAGCCTCCTCCCTCCTTCCCCCTGTGATTTCCACGCTTCTCTTCCACATCCGGGCACTTCCTGCTGGGCCCCTCTAGCCCTGGGGTGTTGCCTTGCCTTAATCCTTTGAGTCCCTGTTGTTAGTATTTAAGGTGTCTAGCGCCGCGTCAGGTGGGTAACAGGAGGAGACTCTATACCAGCGTTTCTCAACCTGGGGGTCGGGACCCCTAACGGGGTCATGAGGGGGGTGTCAGGGGGTCACCAAAGACCATCAGAAAACACATTATTTTCTGTTGGTCATGGGGTTCTGTGTGGGAAGTTTGGTGGGGGTCAGAATGCACTTTGATTGTAGGTGAACTATAAATCCCAGCAATTACAACTCTCAAATGTCAAGGACTATTTCCCCCAAACTCAACCAGTGTTCACATTTGGGCATATTGATGATTCATGCCAAGTTTGGTCCAGATCCATCATTGTTTGAGTGCATCGTGCTGTCTGGATGTAGGTGAACTACAATTCCAAAACTCAAGGTCAATGCCCACCAAACCCTTCCAGTATTTTCTGTTGGTCATGGGAGTTCTGTATGCAAAAATTGGTTTGATTCCATCATTGGTGGAGTTCAGGGTGCTCTTTGATTGTAGGTGAACTATAAATCCCAGCAACTACAACTCCCAAATGACAAAATCAATCCCCTCCAACCCCACCAGTATTCAAATTTGGACATATCAGGTATTTGTGCCAAATTTTGTCCAGTGAATGAAAATACATCCTGCATATCAGATATTTACATCATAATTCATAATAGCAAAATTAGTTATGAAGTAGGAATGAAAATAATTTTGTGGTTGGGGGTCAACACAACATGAGGAACAGTATCAAGGGGTCGCGGCATTAGGAAGGTTGAGAAACACTGCTCTATACTATCCGACATTTCTGTTTATCTGCCGCCCTGTTTATGTCGGATAAGCAAGACTCTACAGTATAATAAAATTACAAAATAAACATGGGTGTAGTCCTTCAATGAGGGACAGGCTGAGTTTTCTTGGTGTCTCCACCCCGACACAGAGCCGTGTCCACGTCAGACGGTGCATCGTCCTGGTCTCCTTCTTGTTACTAACTCACTGATGGGAACCCCAAACCTGCCAGAGCCCTTTTTGGGGTGGGGGGGGGAAGAGGGGTGAATTGCTCTGGCAGGTTGGGTCCTTGTTTTGTGTCTCCAATGTTGCGCAAACATGTCTGGGGGCATTTGGGAGGGGGCCAGGTGGGGGGCCGAGGAGGGGCGGGGGCCGTACCTTGAATGCCAGCGTCTCAGCAGCCACCAAGGTCAGTGAGAGCCCAGGTGGCTTTGAGACGCAAGAAGACCCCCGCCCCCCAATGCGTTTGCAGTAACCGCCCTTGTGCCCCCCCCTAACCTCCAGCTTTGCATGGCCTGCTCTTGAGAAGTGTGTTCTCTCTCTCTCTCTCTTTCTCTCTCCTTCTCTCTTTCTCTCCTTCTCTTCCCCCCGCGTGTGTTGTTTTCTTCCGGATTCAGGAGAGGGCAAAGGTTGATGCGGAGAGGAAGGCGCTGGAGAGGCTGCGGGCGCTCTGCTCGGAGCTCAGGACCCAGCTAGATAACTGCCCTGAGTCCATGAGGGAGCAGCTGCAGGACCAGGTGCAAAGGGTCAGTGCGTCCCCACCCCAAAACCCCGCCCCACAAAGGGGAGCCCCCCCCCCGCCTCTGAGAATCAGGCCGACGGTAGGTAAGGGGGGACCCCGTGTTGCTCTCCTTTTGGACACTCTGCAGGGAGGGACTGGGGAGCGGCAAGGAACAAAACGGTTGTGTTCCAGAGATTTGGGGTAGGTCTTCCCTCTATGGGGCACCCCACCCCTCAGATTGTATAAATTATGCAAATCTGCAACAAGAAAGGTGGGACACCTGGAAGCATTGCTGTGTGCTTTCCGCAGGAGCCTCCACTTACCCGTAGGCTCCGGCCAGTTGGGCAACCGAGTGCCATGGGGTGCCCAGGGTGCCATGCCATCCTATCACCCCACCCCTCAGATTGTATAAATTATGCAAATCTGCAACAAGAAAGGTGGGACACCTGGAAGCATTGCTGTGTGCTTTCCGCAGGAGCCTCCACTTACCTGTAGGCTCCGGCCAGTTGGGCAGCCGAGTGCCATGGGGTGCCCAGGGTGCCGTGCCATCCTGTCATTGAGATGCCGGTTGAACCCCTTTGCCGTCTCCCTCTTCCCCGCAGGAAGCGGAGGCGCTGGAGTCGGAGAGCAAGCTCTTTGAGGACCTGGAGTTCCAGCAGCTGGAGAGGGAGAGCCGGCTGGAAGAGGAGCGCGAGGAGATCAGCCGGCAACTGCTGCAAGGGACGGCCGAGGGGCACCGCAACCTGGCCAGGAGGAAGGTCAGCGAGGCTTGGCTCCGGCGGCGTGTCTATGTGTGTGTCAGTCCTGGCCCCATGGCACTCACTTAGACCCCAATCTCCTCCCCGCTTAGGAACGTGTGGCGGCACTCGAGAGCCAGGCCAACCAGATCCGGCTGCAGGCGGCACAGGAGGCCGAGCGGTTGGGCAAGGAGCAGAGCCTCACATTGCAGATGCTGCAGAAGGTGCGCCCGAGCAGGAAGCGGGGCAGGCTGCCCATGAGCCTGGGGGTCGGGAGAGGTCATCTAAAGTGTCCTGGTGAAGGGGTCGTTGGCTCGAGCTGCAGCCCCTCTGATGCCGTTTCCCCGGCTCTTTCCCTCCAGGAGAAGGAGACCCTCCTGGCTCTTGAGCGGCAGTACCGTGCGCTGACCGGGGGGTCAGGCTTCCCTAAGGCCTCCCCGGCCCTCCGAGAGGTGAGGGGTCTGTCTTCTGTTGGGTGGGTGCAAATGAGGGTCAGCATTATGTCTTCTTTCTCCCTCCTGATTCCTGTGGGGTTTCCTCCCTTTGCTCCTTTGCTCCTCTCTCTCTGGCTTCCATCCCTCAAATCATAGAATCCAAGAGTTGGAAGAGACCTCCTGGGCCATCCAGCCCAACCCCATTCTGCCAAGAAGCAGGAAAGTCACATTCAAAGCACACCCAACAGATAGCCATCCAGACTCTGTTTAAAAGCCTCCTAAGAAGGAGCCTCCACCACTCCGGGGCAGAGAGTTCCACTGCTCTCACAGTCAGGAAGTTCTTCCAATGTTCAGATGGAATCTCCCTTTTTGTAGCGAAGCCATAGTTCCACGTCCTAGTCTCCAGGGCAGCAGAAACAAGCTTGCTCCCTCTTCCCTATACCTTCATCTCACATATTTATACATAGCCCTCATCATGTCTCCTCTCAGCCTTCTCTTCTTCAGGCTAAACATGCCCAGCTCTTTAAGCCACTCCTCATAGGGCTTGTTCTCCAGACCCTTGATCATTTGAGTCGCCCTCCTTTGGACACATTCCAGCTTGTCAACATCTCCCTTCAGTTGCGTGTTATTCCAGGTGTGGTCTAACCAAGGCAGAATAGAGCACGGGTAGCATGACTTCCCTGGATCTAGACGCTAGACTCTTATTGATGCAGGCCAACATCCTGGAGATTCCACCTGAACATGAGGAAGAACTTCCTGACTGTGAGAGAGAGAGCTGTTCAGCAGAGGAACTCTCTGCCCAGGAATGTGGTGGAAGCTCCTCCTTTGGAGGCTTTGAAGCAGAGGCTGGATGGCCATCTGTCGGGGGTGCTTTGATTTTCCTGCTTCTTGGAAAATGGGGTTGGACTGGATGACCCACCAGGTGTCTTCCAGCTTTAGGATTCTATCATTCTATGATGGGACTCCATGGTTCCATCCATCTTTCCAGCCAACTAGCAATGTGTCCCTCTCTGTGTGTGGAATACTTTTGTATGGGACCTCAGGCACAAGGGGACCTTGGGTTGTTGTAGGTTTTTCGGGCTGTATGGCCATATTCTAGAAGCATTCTCTCCTGACGTTTCACCTGCATCTGTGGCAAGCATCCTCTAAGGATGGCTACTATAGATGCAGGCAAAGTGTCAGGAAAGAATGCTTCTGGAACATAGCCATACAGCCCTAGAACTTACAACAACCCAGGGATTCCAGCCAAAGCCTTCAACAATACATATTTATTGTTGTTGTTGTTGTTATACTATACACACACACACACACACATATACATATATTATACTAATTATTATTGTTCTATTATATTATATTATTATTCATTACTAGCCATCCCCTGCCACGTGTTGCTGTGGCCCAGTCTGTGTATATGTGTTTTGTGTGTGTATTTGTGTATATGTGTATATATGTGGTTTTGCACATGCATTGTAATTTTTTTTTTGGCTTTTTAAGTCTCTTCTGCTGTGTTTTTCAGTGTTTTTATCAGTGATGGTCACTTGTTGGCCTGATAGGTGTCTTGTGTCCAAATTTGGTGTCCATTCGTCCAGTGGTTTTTGAGTTATGTTAATCCCACAAATGAACATTATTTTTTTATTTATGTAGATTATTATTTGTTACATGTATAGCAACACAGCACACATCAGTCTAAGTGTCTAGGATTTGTTTCTGAATATCGGGCCCTTCAAGGGTATTAGATTTATTTATTTATTTGTTGTTGTTGTTATATTATATATATAAATGATGATGATTATTATTATATTTATCTATTTTATTATTGTTATTATAATATATTATATTATTATTATTATTTTTATTTATTACATGTATAGAACACAGCACACATAGACATTAATTCCAAGTGTTTGGGACTCTCATATATATATATATATATATATATATAGAGAGAGAGAGAGAGAGAGAGAGAGAGGGGGGGGGGTATTTCATTCATATATATATATACACACACACACACATACACTAGCTGTCCCCTGCCACGCATTGCTGTGGCCCAGTCTGTGTATATGTGTTTTGTGTGTATATGTATGTGTATATGTGTGTGTGTGTATAGATGTTTGTGTATATGTGTATGTGTGTTTGTGTATATATGTGGTTTTGTGCATGTGTTGTTAGATTTTTAAGTCTCTTCTGCTGTGTTTTTCTGTGTTTTTCTGAGTGATGGTCACTCGTTGGCCTGATAGGTGTCTTGTGTCCAAATTTGGTGTCAATTCGTCCAGTGGTTTTTGAGTTATGTTAATCCCACAAACAAACATTACATTTTTATTTATATAAGACTAGCTGTCTGTGTGTGAGAGAGAGAGAGAGAGAGAGAGAGAGAGAGATACCTCTAATATGCTACACCTTTGGAAAAAGCCCAAGGAGAGAACGTCAGGAGAGAATGCTTCTAGAACATGGCCATACAGCCCGAAAAACCTACAGTAATCCAGTGATTCCGGCCACGAAAGCCTTTCACTTTCTCCTTGCTCTTCTCTTGGCTTCTCCTTTCTCGTTCCTTTCCTTTCGGAGGACGTTTTGAGATCATAGAATCATAGAATCATAGAATCAAAGAGTTGGAAGAGACCTCCTGGGCCATCCAGTCCAACCCCATTCTGCCAAGAAGCAGGAATTTTGCATTCAAATCACCCCTGACAGATGGCCATCCAGCCTCTGCTTAAAAGCTTCCAAAGAAGGAGCCTCCACCACACTCCGGGGCAGAGAGTTCCACTGCTGAACGGCTCTCACAGTCAGGAAGTTCTTCCTCATGTTCAGATGGAATCTCCTCTCTTGTAGTTTGAAGATCAGTGCCAGGGTTGCACCTGAGAAGGCAAAAGAGCAGGTGGGCAGAAGCTGGAGGGTTAGGAAGACGTGGTCTCCGTGCCAGGCAGGGATTCAACCCAGGATTCGAGGCCGCTTTTTGCAACCCATTGTGTCCGCACAAAGGGGACGAAGAGCGGGCCAAGCCTGGCTGCGAGGCGGATCGGGCTTATGATGATGCTCGTCAGGGGCCAAGAGTGAAACCTGGAGCCCTTTCCAGCCTCTTCCGAGCTGGAAAGGGCTCCAGGTTTCACTCTTGGCCCCTGACGAGCATCATCATAAGCCCGATCCGCTTTGGAGGCAGACCTGGCCTGCTCTTCATCCCCTTCGCCTCCCTCTTGACCCTTTTCCTGTCCAAACAGGAGGCGGAGGGGGTTGGCTTTGCGGGCCCCTCTTGCGCATCGGCTCCCTCCTCCCAGCCCTGCGCAACGGTGCCAGAGGTAATGCCTGGCTCTCTGCACACTGCATGCCCTGCGATTGGGATGCCTGCATGGCTGCATGCATGCTTGGGTGGCCCTCCTGCACTTGACACCTGAAATGGACCCTTTCCCTTGCAAGAGGTTCCCTCCGAATCCCACAAGTGCATACGAGGGTTGAATGAAAAGTAATGCCTCCACTTTCGTAGCTCCTCAACACATGGCAATACTGGTATGCAGCAGGTACTGGCTTGTTCAGTAGACTCTCCTCTACAGTTCCATTTTGGCAGGAAGCCTTAGCATTGAACGGTTGTGTTGTTAAAGTGCGAAGTATGGAACCCTGCGCAGACAGTCTGTTGTGATAGAGTCTACTAGCAATGATGCAGGTACTGTCTTTTTCAGTAGACTCTCCTCTACAGTTCCATTTTGGTGGGAAGCCTTAGCATTGAAAGGTTGTGTTGTTAAAGTGCAAAGTATGGAACTCTGCATAGATGGTCAGTCAATGCGACTTAAGCAACGTGCAGTCATTGAATTCTTGACAGCAGAAGGTGTCGCCCCAAAAGCAGATTCATCAGAGAATGCAAGCTGTTTATGGTGATTGTGTTGATGTGAGTACTGTGTGTCATTGGGCGAGAAAGTTTAAAGATGTTGAGGTGACACCTGCTGTCAAGAATTCAACGACTGCACATTGCTTAAGTCACATTGACCGACCATCTGCGCAGGGTTCCATACTTTGCATTTTAACAACACAACTGTTCAATCCTAAGGCTTCCTGCCAAAATGGAACTGTAGAGGAGAGTCTACAGAACAAGCCAGTACCTGCCGCATACCAGTACTGCCATCTGTTGTGGAGTTAGGAAGGTGGAGGCATTACTTTTTCTGCTAAGGCTTCCTGCCAAAATGGAACTGTAGAGGAGAGTCTACTGAACAAGGCAGTACTTGCTGCATACCAGTACTGCCATCTGTTGAGAGTTACGAAGGTGGAGGCATTACTTTTTCTGCTAAGGCTTCCTGCCAAAATGGAACTGTAGAGGAGAGTCTACTGAACAAGCCAGTACCTGCCGCATACCAGTACTGCCATCTGTTGAGGAGTTACGAAGGTGGAGGCATTCCTTTTTCTGCTAAGGCTTCCTGCCAAAATGGAACTGTAGAGGAGAGTCTACTGAACAAGCCAGTACCTGCCGCATACCAGTACTGCCATCTGTTGAGGAGTTACGAAGGTGGAGGCATTCCTTTTTCTGCTAAGGCTTCCTGCCAAAATGGAACTGTAGAGGAGAGTCTACTGAAGAAGCCAGTACTTGCTGCATACCAGTACTGCCATCTGTTGAGGAGTCACGAAGGTGGAGGCATTACTTTTTCTGCTAAGGATTCCTTCCAAAATGGAACTGTAGAGGAGAGTCTACTGAACAAATGGAACTGTAGAGGAGAGTCTACTAAACAAGCCAGTACCTGGCGCATACCAGTACTGCCATCTGTTGAGGAGTCACGGAGGTGGAGGCATTACTTTTTCTGCTAAGGCTTCCTGCAAATGAAACTGTAGAGGAGAGTCTACTGAACAAGCTAGTACCTGCCGCATACCAGTACTGCCATCAGTTGAGGAGTCACAGAGGTGGAGGCATTACTTTTCATTCAACCCTCATAGATACGCATAGCAGAGGCATCCGTACAGATGACTAGTGTGCCTTGGTCACTCATGCATTTTGCTTTGAGTTGTGGCTACTTCTGCATAACAATCTGGGGTGGACATGACCTGGGTGGCTTAGAGTCCACATGTGCAAGACTGGTGGTGCCGTGTCTTTGGTCCTCTTGGAGCATGTCTTTGTGCATGCGAATACACACGGTGGTGGCATCTCCTTGCCTAACCTCTCTGCTGGCTGCTTCTAGGGGGATTGGGGTCCACCTGCTGTTTCCGGCCCTTGCAGCCACGCGCCGGACGCTAGTGTCTCCCCCACCGGTGGCCCCCCACTTCTGCTTCCTCCTAGCTATGAGGTACTGCCTTCTCAGACCGGGTTCTGTCCTTTTGGGGGTCTCGGAGGGAGGCCACCCGCATCGACCCCTCGGCGGCCTCCCGCTCCCCTCTCTCACGCCGCCTCTCCTCTCCGTCTGTCCAGTATGTGACCACTGACCAGCTGGCGGTGATCCTGGGGAGTGTCCGGGCGGCCGTAGGGCTGGCCCACCCTCCCGGCCCCTCTGCTCCTGCCGCTTCTGCCTTGCCAGCGCCGCTCTCCTCTTCCCAGGTTTGTGCTCCTCCCGTAAGCCTTGCTTCCTTGTTGCCCTTTCCTTGACCGCTTCCTCCAGGCATAGTTGACCATTCCCTTAGGACAGGGCAGGGGGCGAGAGAGAGGTGGTCTGCCACTGTAACTATGCTTTCCGCTTGCCTTCTTCCGCCTTCCTCTTCCTCTTCTTCTGCTGCCAGTCCAAATGGGAACTGTAGAGAAGTCTACTGAACAAGCCAGTCCAGGAGACGGATCCACATTCTCCCACATCTCTGCCTTTCTTTGCGTCTCTCTTCTGACAGGTCTATCGCTCCAAGATGGACGGCAGCCTGGCCTGGTCCAAAGCAGGGGCGTCCACTTCTTCCTCCCAGCTCAGCCTCGCCAGCCTCGGACGCAGCCCCTCCCCAAAGGTAGGTCTCTCCCTATTGGTCTAACTTCAGCCCTCCCTCCAGGTGTTTTGGACTTCAAGTCCCACAATTCTTAGCAGCCGGTATTATTATGCTAATAATATAATATATTGCATATATAGTATTGATAATATTATAATGTAATACAATATACTACTACTTATAATAATAATATAATATAATAATATTAATAATATATTATATATTACATGTAATATTACTAATAATATTACGGTATAGTGGTATAGTTCAATATAGTAATATATAATGGTAACATTGTGTTGTGCTAATAATATAATATATTGTATATACATATAATGTTGATAATAATATTATTCTGTAATACAATATAACATTACTACTACTAATAATAATACAATATAACAATATTAATAATATATTATATATTACATGTAATGTTACTAATAATATTACAGTTTACTGGTATAGTGCAATACACTAATGTATAATGCTAATATTGTGTTGTGCTAATAATATAATATAATATAATATAATATAATATAATATATATTACATGTAATACTACCGTTTATTGTTATAGTGCAATATACTAATGTATAATGCTAATATTGTGTTGTGCTAATAATATAATATAATATAATATAATATAATATAATATAATATATATTACATGTAATATTACTAATAATACTACCGTTTATTGTTATAGTGCAATATACTAATGTATAATGCTAATATTGTGTTGTGCTAATAATATAATATAATATAATATAATATAATATATATTACATATAATACTACCGTTTATTGTTATAGTGCAATATACTAATGTATAATGCTAATATTGTGTTGTGCTAATAATATAATCTAATATATTATAATATAATATAATATATAATATAATATAATATAATATAATATAATATAATATAATATAATATAATATATATTACATGTAATATTACTAATAATACTACAGTTTACTGGTATAGTGCAATATACTAATGTATAATGCTAATATTGTGTTGTGCTAATAATATAATCTAATATATTATAATATAATATAATATAATATATATTACATATAATACTACCGTTTATTGTTATAGTGCAATATACTAATGTATAATGCTAATATTGTGTTGTGCTAATAATATAATCTAATATATTATAATATAATATAATATAATAATATAATATAATATAATATAATATAATATAATATAATATAATATATATTACATGTAATATTACTAATAATACTACAGTTTACTGGTATAGTGCAATATACTAATGTATAATGCTAATATTGTGTTGTGCTAATAATATAATCTAATATATTATAATATAATATAATATAATATATATTACATATAATACTACCGTTTATTGTTATAGTGCAATATACTAATGTATAATGCTAATATTGTGTTGTGCTAATAATATAATCTAATATATTATAATATAATATATTATATATTACATGTAATATTACTAATGATATTACATTATAGTGGTATAGTTCAATATAGTATTGTATAATGCTAATATTGTGCACCTGTGGGGATTGAGGAGGGGGCCCACCTGGCAGCTAATACTGTGTTGTGCTAATAATATAATACATTGCATATACATGCAGATACGTTATTTGTTCTGCAAAAGACATGAAAGAACAATGCAGTATTTAAAATGATGAACAATTTTAACCAACATAAACTTACCAGTATTTGGCTGATCAGATAGTCATATTAATTCAGATTGTTGTTGTTGTTGTTGTGTGACTTGAAGATGTTACAGTCTTAGGGTGTTAGGTTCTTGTGGGTTTTTTCGGGCTATAGGGCCAAGTTCTAGAGGCATTTCTCCTGACGTTTCGCCTGCATCTATGGCAAGCATCCTCAGAGGTAGTGAGGTCTGTTGGAATTAGGACAATGGGTTTATATATATCTGTGGAATGGCTGGGGTGGGGCAAAGAGCTCTTCTCTGCTGGAGCTAGGTGTGAATGGTTGTAGGTTTTTTCGGGCTATATGGCCATGGTCTAGAGGCATTCTCTCCTGACATTTCACCTGCATCTATGGCAAGCATCCTCAGAGGTAGTGAGGTCTGTTGGAACTAGGAAAAAGGGTTTATATATCTGTGGAATGACCAGGGTGGGACAAAGGACTCTTGTCTGCTGGAGCAGATATACATGGGTTCTTGTGGGTTTTTTCGGGCTATATGGCCATGTTCTAGAGGCATTCTCTCCTGACGTTTCGCCTGCATCTATGGCAAGCATCCTCAGAGGTAGTGAGGTCTGTTGGAAATAGGACAATGGGTTTATATATCTGTGGAATGGCCAGGGTGGGACAAAGGACTCTTGTCTGCTGGAGCTAGGTGTGAATGGGTTGTAGGTTTTTTCGGGCTATATGGCCATGTTCTAGAGGCATTCTCTCCTGACGTTTCGCCTGCATCTATGGCAAGCATCCTCAGAGGTAGTGAGGTCTGTTGGAACTAGGAAAAATGGGTTTATATATCTGTGGAATGACCAGGGTGGGACAAAGGACTCTTGTCTGCTGGAGCTAGGTGTGAATGGGTTGTTGTAGGTTTTTTCAGGCTATATGGCCATGTTCTAGAGGCATTTCTCCTGACGTTTCGCCTGCATCTATGGCAAGCTTCCTCAGAGGTAGTGAGGATGCTTGCCATAGGGATATTCGTCTTCCTTCCTGCGGCAGAACGCCATGGCTGCCCAGAACGGCGGGACGGGCAGCCTCCCTCGCAACCTGGCCAACACCCTCCAGGACATCGAGAGCAAGCGCCAGCTGGCCCTCCAGCAAAAGGGTACGTAAACAGGTCGGCGGGTGGGCGGGAGGCTCAACGGGGGTCCGGACCCGGCTCTAAGCCCCCTCCCTCGGCCGGCCTCGTCTCCGCAGGGCAGCAGGTGATTGAGGAGCAGCGGCGGCGCCTGGCCGACCTGAAGCAGAAGGCGGCGGCCGAGGCCCAGTCGCAGTGGGAGGCCCTGCGCGGGGGAGGGGCGCCCCCGCTCTTGCCCCCCTACTCCTCCTCCCCCCTCATGCACCACTCCATCCTCCATCACCACCACCCCCACCACGCGGCGGGCAGGGGGATGGACGACCCCCAGCCCCACCAGCGCCCCTACGACACCCTCAGCCTGGAGAGCTCCGACAGCCTCGAGACCAACTTCTCCAACAGCGGGAACTCCGCCTGCTCCCCGGACAACGTCTCCAGGTACGGCAGGGACCCCCACCTGTCCCCTGGCTTCCTCTGCCCCTAAACTTTGTGGGAGACCCCCAGCAAGGGGTCCTAGCAGAGAGGCGGGCAATGGAGACGTGGGACCCCCCACCCATCCCCATCCGCTCGTTCTTGGCTTCCTCTGCCCATATACTTTGTGGGAGACCCCCAGCAAACAGTCCTAGCAGAGAGGCGGGCAATGGAGACGTGGGACCCCCCACCCATCTCCATCCACCTGTTCTTGGCTTCCTCTGCCCCTAAACTTTGTGGGAGACCCCCAGCAAGCAGTCCTAGCAGAGAGGCGGGCAATGGAGACGTGGGACCCCCCACCCATCCCCATCTCCATCTGCCCGTTCTTGGCTTCCTCTGCCCCTAAACTTTGTGGGAGAAGCCCAGCAAGCAGTCCTAGCAGAGAGGCGGGCAATGGAGACGTGGGACCCCCTACCTGTCCCCATCCACCTGTTCTTGGCTTCTTCTGCCCCTAAACTTTGTGGGAGACCCCCAGCAAGCAGTCCTAGCAGAGAGGCGGGCAATGGAGACGTGGGACCCCCCACCCATCCCCATCCACCTGTTCTTGGCTTCCTCTGCCCCTAAACTTTGTGGGAGACCCCCAGCAAGCAGTCCTAGCAGAGAGGCGGGCAATGGAGACGTGGGACCCCCCACCCATCCCCATCCACCTGTTCTTGGCTTCCTCTGCCCCTAAACTTTGTGGGAGACCCCCAGCAAGCAGTCCTAGCAGAGAGGTGGGCAATGGAGATGTGGGACCCCCCACCCATCCCCATCCACCTGTTCTTGGCTTCCTCTGCCCCTAAACTTTGTGGGAGACCCCCAGCAAGCAGTCCTAGCAGAGAGGCGGGCAATGGAGACGTGGGACCCCCCACCCATCCCCATCCACCTGTTCTTGGCTTCTTCTGCCCCTAAACTTTGTGGGAGACCCCCAGCAAGCAGTCCTAGCAGGGAGGTGGGCAATGTAGACGTTCCCTCGCCACCGCTGGTCCTCCGACCTCCCGGTTGCGGTGAGTATGCCTCTCTCTCTCCATCCACCTGCCATTGCTTCCATTATGACATCCCGCCCTTTACGACGCTCTTCTGTGGTTGCGAAGGGGGTTCCTGGGTATTGCCCACCGGCTCCACAGAACCCACCCACAGGGTCCGGGGGAAGGAGGAGGGCATGCGTGGGAGCGGCTGGGACGGTGACACTGTGGGTTTGCCGTGCAGCGCCAGCGGAGCCGACGCGGGGAAGATCGAGGAGATGGAGAAGATGCTGAGAGAGGCCCACGCGGAGAAGTCCCGCCTGATGGAGTCCCGGGTGAGCGCCCGTTCCCAATCGCCCCTTCCTTCCCTGCTGCAAGCGGTGCTTCGGTGCCCTCTTTGTGCTAGGCTTGTGCACAGATTCAGATTGATCGGTTCCTTTTGGCCAATCCGGCTTGTTGGAGTGGCCATAATGATAAGGGCTGCCAGGCGCAGCTTCTTCCCTTCTATCCGGGAGCAGAAAGTAAGGCCCTAATGAAAAGGGATGTGACACTGAGGCTCTGCCTCTGAAGGCCGTGGTTACTTTCAAAGTCTCCATTCCTCACTGGTCTCAGAGGTGGTCATATTACGGAATAGGCAGAACTTAGAACATTTGAGCTGGCGGTTTAGCACAGCTGGGAAATCATCAGCAATTATAAGACCTATCAACCAAAAGGTTGCAAGCGCGAAGCCCCAGGTTGGCATGAGCTGCCAACTGTCAGCCTAGCTCATTGTTTACCTAAGCAATTCGAAAGCAGCTTTAGCTGTGAATAGAGAAATTAAGTACTGCTAAAAGCGCAAGAGGTGTTTTATGACACCATAAAGAAAAAAGATCTTGGGCCATATCGCCCCCTTCCGCCTGGCCTCTCTCTGCACCTTTGTGATGCCCATTCCTCCACCTGGCGGCCTTGGCATTACACCTGTGGGGATTGAGGAGGGGTCCCACCTGGCTGCAAAATGGCGCTCTCCTTTTTTTTTGCAGGAGCAAGAAGCGGAGCTGCGGCGCCAGGCCTTGGAGGACGAGCGGCGGCGGAGGGAGCAGCTGGAGCGGCGGCTGCAGGACGAGACGGCGAGGCGGCAGAAGCTCATCGAGAAGGAGGTCAAGATGCGGGAGAAGCAGTTCGCCCAGGTGGGGTCGGGCAGGGCAGGTGGGCACAGGCATGGGCCAACGTCATCCCTCCCTCCAGGTGTTTTGGACTTCCACAAACCCTAACGGCCGGTCTTCCTCTCATCTCCCCTCCGCCAGGCGCGGCCGCTGACCCGCTACCTGCCCATCCGCAAAGAGGACTTTGACCTGCGGCTGCACATCGAGTCCTCGGGCCACAGCGTGGACACCTGCAGCCACATCATCCTCTCCGAGAAGATGTGCAAGGGCTACCTGGTCAAGATGGGGGGCAAGATCAAGTCCTGGAAGAAGCGCTGGTTCGTTTTCGACCGCTTGCGCCGCACCTTTTCCTACTACGTCGGTAGGTGGTGGTGGTGGTGGTGGGGGGGTCCTATGGGTTCCTCTCTTTCTGAGCACCCCAATATCCCAGACACTTGGACCAAATATGCTCTGGTGTTAGGTACAAACACATTAATAATAATAATAATAATAATAATAATAATAATAATAATAATAATATCTCTAATAACTGCAAGTCGCTTCTGATGTGAGAGAATTGGCTGTCTGCAAGGATGATGCGGTGAGAGAATTGGCTGTCTGCAAAGATGTTGCTGAGAGGATGCCCAGATGTTTTACCATCCTGTGGGAGGCTTCTCTCATGTCCTTGCATGAGAAGCTGGAACTGACAGGCGGGAGCTCTCCCCACTCCCCAGTTTCAAACAGCCAACCTTGTGGTCAGCAGTCCTACTGGCACAAGGGTTTAACCACTTTGAGTCCCCCTCGGCATTGTCCGTAGACACCTCCAAGGTCATGTGCCGGCATGACTTAATGGAGCGCTGTAACATAGCACTAATAATATATATTATAATAATGATAATAATATAATAAATATACCAATATAATAATATATTACAATTATATATTATAATATATATTATTATTACTATATTATAGTTATTATTATTATTATTATTATTATTATTATTATTATTATTATTATTATTATCTAATATACTAGCCCTTTGGAAGAGCCCAGTATTCAGGGCAAGGTTGGTGCTTATCTCTGTTTCTAAGCCAAAGAGCCGGCATTGTCTGTAGTGTTGCATCCCAGACCAAGAAACGAGACCATAAGATTAAATCCCCCACACTGGACTGTAGGAAAAACAATCCTTTTTTATTGATGAAAAATTGGTTACAAAAGAAAGGTAAATGCAAAGTCAAAAAGCCACAATAAAAACACAGCAGTCAGGAAAATCTCTGAACTTGAGCAAAATTCCACAAACCACAATACAAGAACCAGGAACCCGTTAGCCTCTCGCTAACCATGTACTTGAAAAACTAGAAGCCTCTGGGATTACCGGCCATGGAACACAGGAATTCTGCCAAGGCACAGCCACAGTCCCAAACGTTGCTTGATCTAAGGAGGCACCCGGCAGGCGGCCCCTTAAACCAAAGAAACTATTCCTTGAAACGCCCCTTGACTTTGAAGCCTGAGCCTGTCTCTCCTGTAATCTATTTGACCTTCGTAGGAACTGTGAATCACTCCTGTCTCTCGTTATCTGTTCCCTTCGGTCCTCATTAAAAAACCCAGGTAGAGAGCTATCACGGCTGGATTCCAAAACATTTTCATCCGGCTGTTCAGTTTCGTTTTCCCCGCTGCTGAACTCAGCATCACCAGTTTCCACATTGTCAGGGAAAACTGCATGTTCAGTGGCTTGCTCAGTTGGAAATACTATCAGAGAATCAGGTTCACACAGATCAGGCTGAACCCCAACATGTAGACATCTCCAAGGTCATGTGGCCAGCATGACTTAATGGAGCGCTGTAATATAGCAATAATATATATATATATTTTAATTAGTATTTTTTATTATTTTTATTATTATATTAATTTTAGTATTATCTGATATACTAGCCCTTTGGAAGAGCCCAGTATTCAGGGTGAGGTTGGTGCTTATCTCTGTTAAATAAATATACCAATATATTATAGATAGATAGATAGATAGATAGATAGATAGATAGATAGATAGATAGATAGATAGATAATTATAATTATATTATAATATATATCATTATTACTATATCATAGTATTTATTATTATTATTATCTAATATACTAGCCCTTTGGAAGAGCCCAGTATTCAGGGCAAGGTTGGTGCTTATCTCTTTTTCTAAGCCAAAGAGCCGGCATTGTCCGTAGACACCTCCAAGGTCATGTGGCCGGCATGACTTAATGGAGCGCTGTAATATAGCAATAATAATATATATCATAATGATAATAATTATAATAATATTATAAATATACCACTATAATAATATATTACAATTATAATTATAATAATATAATGTAATATAATATAATGTAATAATATAGATTATAATATAATAATGATAATAATATAATAAATATAGCAATATATATTTTCATATATATATATATATATATATATATATATATATATATATATATTGCTATATTTATTATATTATTATCATTATTATTATCCTTTGGGCGAATCCCAGATGCTTGGACCTAGTATCTAGGACTGACCCCCCTCTCTCTCCCCTCTGCCTTGCAGACAAGCACGAGACGAAGCTGAAGGGTCTCATCTACTTCCAGGCCATTGAGGAAGTTTATTACGATCACCTCCGGAGTGCAGCCAAGGTGAGCCGAGGGTCAGAGCATCCAGAGTCAAGGCCCGCAGGAGGGTCCTTTGGGGGTAGCATTGGGGGTCCCCTTCCTTGTCCTCTTTCCCCCTCCTTCCTTCCTTCCTCCCTTCCATCCTTCGTTCCTTCACGTTTCTCTCTTCTCCTCCTCCTGCAGAAGAGGTCCTTCTCTCTCAGCCTGGCCAGTGTAGGTAGCCCTTGGTTTCCTTGGCATGCCCTGAGTAACAGCCCCCTACCACTCATTCCCACTAACAGATGTCTGCTTTGGCCTTTTTTGCATCTCAAAATACGAGACAAGGGTCCCACGAGACAAGGGTCCCAAACGCCATGTAAACATTGAGGTCAACCCTACTTTGGCGAGGTCGTTGGCCATCCCAATTGTGTGCCGTCAACAACTAACAGCTTCCCTGAGTGGACACTAACTTTCCACCTCTAACTCAGGCATGGGCTCACTTTGGCCATCCCTCCAGGTGTTTTGGACTACAACTCCCACAATTCCTAGCAGCCTACCCACAATTCCTAGCAGCCTGCTCTAATGTTTCCTGTTTTTCTGTTCCTTTCCAGCACCTAGCAGACTTCCTCCCTGCTCCCTTCAGTGGAGAGGTTGGTCTTGCGCTTCCCCTTTCTCTCTTCCCACCCAACCGCCAACTTTACTCTGGGGGTGGTACTACTTGCCTATGGGGCAGGGCAAGTGACCAGACCACCCTTTGCTTTCCACAGAGCCCGAACCCGGCTCTCACCTTCTGCGTCAAGACCCACGACCGCCTCTACTACATGGTGGCCCCTTCCGCCGAGGCCATGCGCATCTGGATGGACGTCATCGTCACGGGCGCCGAGGGGTACACGCAGTTCCTGAACTGAGCCCAAGCGGGACCCTTGGCGGTCGGAGGAGGAGAAAGAGGAGGAAGCAGGGACAGGGGCCAAGGCTTCGGGGCTCCTTCCGGTCAGAGCGATGCTTCTGCTTCTCCACAAGCTCAATATGGGACTGTTGGGAGCCGCCAGGGCTTTGGGATGTCGCTCCCCGAAATTCGACGCCCTCTCCTTGGCCACGGACTAGAGATGCCACGTTTGCCCATTAAACTGCCAAAGGCTCCATGCCAACAGCTCAGTTGAGTCCTGCCCTGGATATGTGGGGATGTAGGTTTCCATATATCCTTCCTTCCTTCCTTCCTTCCTTCCTTCCTTCCTTCCTTCCTTCCTTCCTTCCTTCCTTCCTTCCTTCCTTCCTTCCTTCCTTCCTTCCTCTTCTTCCTCCCTCCCATATCTATCTATCTAGAGATCGATCTATCTATCATCTCTTTTCTCCCTCCTTCCTTCCTTCCTTCCTTCCTTCCTTCCTTCTTCTTTCTCCCTCCCTCCCTCCCTCCCGCCCTCCCATATCGATCGATCAATCGATCAATCTATATCTATCTATCGATCGGTTGATCTTCCTATCTATCTATCTATCTATCTATCTATCTATCTATCTATCTATCATTTCTCCTTCCTTCCTTCCTTCCTTCCTTCCTTCCTTCCTTCCTTCCTTCCTTCCTTCCTTCCTCCTTCCTCCTTCCTCCTTCCCTTTTTGTCTTTCCTTTCTTCTCTCTTTCTCCTTCCTTCCTTCCTTCCTTCCTTCCTTCCTTCCTTCCTTCCTTCCTTCCTTCCTTCCTTCCTTCCTCTTCTTCCTCCCTCCCATATCTATCTATCTAGAGATCGATCTTCCCTCCCTCCCTCCCATATTGACATATCTATCTATATCTATCTATCTATCGATCGATCGATCTATCGATCTTCCTATCTATCTATCGGAGCTGAAGACCAACAGGTCGCAGGTTTGAATCCGGGGAGAGGTGGATGAGCTCCCTCTATCAGCTCCAGCTCCTCATGCGGGGACATGAGAGAAGCCTCCCACAAGGATGATAAAAACATCAAATCATCCGGGCGTCCCCTGGGCAACGTCCAGGCATCATCCTGGACGTGGGATGCCTGGCATCATCCAGGCATCCCCTGGGCAATGTCCTTGAAGACGGCCAATTCTCTCACACCAGAAGTTACTTGCAGTTTCTCAAATTGCTCCTGACACGACAAAAAAAATCTATGTATCATCTCTTTTCTCCTTTCCTCCTTCCTTCCTTCCTCTTCTTCCTCCCTCCCTCCCATCCATATCGATCGATCTATATCTATCGATCATCTTCCTATGTATCTATCTATCATCTCTTTTCCTCCCTCCCTCCCTCCCTCCCTCCCATATCGATCTTCCTATCTATCTGTATCTATATCTATCGATCGATCTTCCTATCTATCTATCTATCTATCTATCATCTCTTTTCTCCTTCCTTCCTCCCTCCCTCCCATATCGATCGATCTTCCTATCTATCTATCTATCTATCTATCGATCTATCTATCTATCTATCTATCATCTCTTTTCTCCTTCCTTCGATCCCTCCTTCCTTCCTTCCTTCCTTCCTTCCTCCCTCCCTCCCTCCTCATCTATCTATCTATCTATCTATCTATCTATCTATCTATCATCTATCTATCTATCTATCTCTATCTATCTATCTATCTATCTATCTATCTATCTATCTATCTATCTATCTATCTTCCTATCTATCTATCGATCTTCCTATCTATCTATCTATCTATCTATCTATCTATCTATCTATCTATCTATCTATCATTTCTTTCTCCCTCTCTTCCCTTCCCTTCTTCCCTTCCTTTTATCCCTTCCTTCCCTTCCTTCCTGATTTCCCTGGGCAGAGACAGAGGGAGGGCGCGTGCAGGAATGCTCTGCCGCGTCCTCCATCACTGCAACTCCCATCATCCCTGCCGCCTTGTGCCTTGGGGGGCCGCTGCCTGCCCTCCTTCCAGCAAAGGGACCGGAAGCGCGGCTCCGCCCGGGCTTGGTTCTCTTCCTTCGGAAGGAAGTGGGACGTCCTGCCCGGAGGAGGCTCTCTGTGGGGAGTCTGTCCAGAAGGCCAAACCCGGAGCGGTTGCTCTCCTTGGTGCCACCAATGACTCAGACTGGGCAGAGGATGGGGAATAATAAAGCCTTTTATTTACAATGCCTGGCAGCGCACCTTCCTTTCCTCTCTCTACGCAAACGAATGCTGCGATGGAGCCGTGAATGTGCCAACATCATGCTTCAAGGGATGTGTGGTGAGCTACCCCAGACTTGGGCCCTCCAGGTGTTTTGGACTTCAACTCCCACAATTCCTAGCAGCCTACCGGCTGCTAGGAATTGTGGGAGTTGAAGTCCAAAACACCTGGAGGGCCCCAGTTTGCCCATGCCTGGGCTATCCAGTCCAAGGCACACTCAAAGCCATCCCAACAGATGCCCATCATAGCAGGAAATGCACAGAGTACCAGCAGAAGGTGTCCGAAGCCCAGCCCGAGAGGGTGGTATCCTCTTAGGCCAAGGTGACCAGGAGGAAGGCCCACATCCAGGTCCAGGTCCAAGCGCCCGGCAGGAAGGAGCCTGCGGAGGAGGTGAGGCGGTCACCATAAAGGTCCAGCAGCTTCAGAGCCACGCCGTTGGTCCATCCAAAGCCCTCCTGCAAATGCACAGAGTGCATGGGAATCCAAAGAGAGAAACCCCTTTGCTTGCCTTTGAGGTGGATAGGGAAGGGCTGCCTTACCTGTACGGCGTACTCTCCACCTCCACCTGGCTTCCCGTCCCCTTCCACGTTATACTGGGGAGAGAGGGAAGGATTCCCTGTGCCTGATTCCACAATTCCTACTCGTTTCTTTCCATCCCTTTCTTGTTCCAAGAGGTTGGGACAGGTGCGCCCGCATGCCTCACCTTCTCAAACATGCCCTGGTACCTCTCATAGACGGCCAGGTTGGTTCTCACCCAGCGTTGTGCCAAAGCGAAGGCCAGCTCTTGCGCCCGGGGCGAGGAAGACTTGGCCAGGCCTGGAGGGTAAGAGGAAACCGCTCGGTCAGGAGCATGGCTGCGCTCCAAGCCTCCGTTCATGTGCTACAGGCCCTTCCAGCACCTTGGAGAGCACCTTAAAAGTCACGCCCTAACCTGGAAGGGACCCCTTCCAGGTTAGGAAACGAGACCATAAGATTAAATCCACCACACTTGACTGTGGGAAAAACAATCCTTCTTTATTGATGAAAAATGGTTACAAAATAAAGGTAAATGCAAAGTCAAAAAGCCACAGTAAAAACTCAGCAGTCAGGAATGTCTCTGGACTAGATCAAAATTCCAAAAGCAACACTATAAAAACCTGGAACCTGTTAGCATCTCACTAACCGTACTTGGAAACTAGAAGCCTCTGGGAATGCAGGCCATGGGAAACGGGAAATCTGCCAAGGTAATTCCTCAGTCTAAATCAGTGGTTCTCAACCTTCCTAATGCCGTGACCCCTTAGTACAGGTCCTCATGTTGTGGTGACCCCCAACCATAACGTTATTTTCATTGCTACTTCAGAACTGTAATTTTTCTACTATTATGAATTGTAATGTAAATATCTGATATGCAGGATGTATTTTCAGTCACTGGACCAAATTTGGCACAAATACCCGATACGCCCAAAATTTGAATACTGGTGGGGTTGGGTGTGATTGATTTTGTCATTTGGTAATGCTGGAGTTGCTGGGATTTATAGTTCACCTTAAATCAAAGAGCCTTCTGAACTCCATCAATGATGGAATTGAATCAAACATGGCACACAGAGTTCCCATGACCAAGAGAAAATACTGGGAAGGTCTGCTGGACATTGACCTTGAATTTTTGGAGTTATAGTTCACCTACATCCAGAGAACACTGTGGACTCTAGCAATGATGGATCTGGATCAAACTTGGCACAAATACTCAATATGCCCAAATGTGAACACTGGTAGAGTTTTGAGAAAATAGACCTTGCCATTTGGGAGTTGTAGTTGTTGGGATTTATAGTTCACCCACAATGAAATAGCATTCTGAACCCCACCAACGATAAAATTGGACCAAACTTTCCACACAAAACCCCCATGATCAACAGAAAATACTATGTTTTCTGATGGTCTTTGGCGACCCATCTGACACCCCCTCGCGACCCCCACAGGGGTCCCGACCCCCAGATTGAGAAACACTGGTCTAAATGATGATTGATCTAATGAGACAGCCCGGGGAGAGACACTAAAGAAACTGTTTCGGGACACGCCTCCAGGCTTTGAAGCCTCCTTCTGCTTTAATCTACTTGACCTTCGCAGACTCTGTGATTCACTCCTGTTTTTCCAAATCTGTCCTTTTCTATCCTCATTAAAAAAAGGCAGGTGCTAGCTCCTCTGGAGAGTTATCACCACTTGATTCTGAAACATTCTCATCAGGATGTGCAGTTTCACTTTCCAAGCCACTGCCCTCAGAATCAACAGTTTCCAAACCATCAGGGCAAAATACATGTTCACTAGCCTGCTCAGTTGCATCAGGAAATACAATCAGAAAATCAGGTTCAGGTTCACACAGAGGCTGAACCCCAACAACCCCACACTTCCCTCACTAAACCTGCCGCTTGGCTGCTACAAGTGAGGAGGGAAGAAAAAGCTTTTGGGGGATGCAATGGGGAGTCTAACTCTGCAGGTTTTCTCCAAAGGTCCTCCCCCTGAGGCAAATAAACTGTCAGTTGGAATTTTGTTGCATTCCCTAATGCATGCTTTTGGGATTAAAGCCTTCCAACTTTGTTTCTGAGGTAATTTCTTCACCAGAAAGCTACAGATCTGGACACTCTGCTAGCTTTGCCCCAATGGTCCTCCCCCTGACACACACCTACAAAGAGGAAAGAAAGGGTGCAACGGGGAGTGTAACTGTGTCAAGACCTTATTTCCTGGTTTTGTGTGAAGCTAGGGAATTAGGCCATGCCTTAGACCTGTCCTGTATATATTTTGAAATCTGGGAGACGGTTGCCATGGAAACGGGAACAATGCAAGGGAGGGGCCAGAGTGAGGCAAATAAACTGTCAGTTGGAATTTTGTTGCATTCCCTAATGCATGCTTTTGGGATTAAAGCCTTCCAACTTTGTTTCTGAGGTAATTTCTTCACCAGAAAGCTACAGATCTGGACACTCTGCAGCCTGAGCTCCAATGGTCAAATACCTGTGGATAAGGGGAGAGGGGCGTGCTTTACCTTCGATGACCATGTCCTGGAGCGGGGCCCAGGCGTTGGGCAGGTCCCACTGTTGCCCTGTGTCCGCCAAGGAAGTGGGCAGTCCATTGTGATAGGAGAGGGCTGGATTCCCCTGTGGAGGAAAGACAGGCGGATATGGGGTGGCCGTCGGACAGAGAATGCCCCATGGCCTCACACTTCAGGATTGATTGTCTTTAACATGCAAGGTGAAGATCGTTGGAACATGTGAGAAATCAGAGTGTGTGTGTGTGTGTCAACTGTAAAATAAGATGCACGAAACTGATTGTCTGGGCAACACTCAGGGAGCTAGCTGAGCCTGGGATCTTTGGATACCGTTACGTTTTTCAGGCTGGAGCTGTGTAAAGGTGCTTAGAATGAAGCAGAGGGAAGTAGACAGAGAGACAGTGTTTGGAATGTGCTCTTGCTTCATGTGCAAGAAACCAGACTTAGATTCTTCGGTTCCCTCCAGTTACCGCTCAGTTTCGAATCTCTCGTTCCTGGGCAAGGTGATGGAGAGGGCAGCAGCGGAGCAGTTGCAGCAATTCCTAGAGGACACAGCCGGACTAGATCCCTTCCAGTCCGGCTTCCGTGTGGGGCATGGGACAGAGACTGTGCTGGTCTCTATCATGCATCACCTTCGATGCCAGCTTGACCAGGGCGGGTCAGCGCTGCTTGTGCTATTGGATCTCACAGCAGCATTGGACACAGTCGACCACAATCTCTTGACCCACCGCCTTGCTGTTGCTGGAGTCGGGGGGAGAGCTTTGAACTGGCTGTCCTCCTTTCTTCACAACCGTGGACAGCGAGTGGAGAGGGGAGGCCTGGTCTCTGAGAGGTCCCCTCCCTCTCTCTTGTGGGGTTCCTCAGGGGGCCATTCTCTCCCCTCTGTTGTTTAACATCTCTATGCGCCCACTTGCTCAGCTGGTTCGAGGTTTTGGGCTTGAGTGTTGCCAGTACGCTGATGACACTCAGCTGGTGCTGAAGATGGAAGGCCGACCGGACTCTGTACCTGATTGTTTCCCTCAGTGCCTCGAGGCCATTCCTGGATGGCTGCATGCCAGCAGGTTGAGGGTGAATCCAGCAAAGACGGAGATCCTATGGCTGGGTCAACCGGGCAGTGGAGATATCCAGCTGCCTACCCTGGATGGCGAGGCGCTACACCCGTCCTCGTTGGTCAAGAGTCTGGGAGTCCCTTTGGACCCTCTGCAGACGATGGAGGCCCAGGTCTCTCTCTGCTGTGAGCAGAATCGCCTTCTTTCACCTGCGGCAGGCTAGACGGCTGGCCCCCTCCTTGTCCAGGGACGACCTAGCTACGGTGATCCAGGCCACGGTCACCTCCAGACTGGACTACTGTAATGCCCTCTACATTGGCCTTCCTCTGTCGTGATCCGGAAGCTCAAGTTGGTACAAAATGCAGCTGCTCGGCTTCTTCCGGGAATTCCGATGAGATTCACAGCTAGCCCCAGCAAACAAAAGTCCTTTGTCTCACCCTGGTCATTCCACAGATATATAAATCCATTTTTCCTAGTTCCAACAGACCTCATTACCTCTGAGGATGCTTGCCACAGATGCAGGCGAAACGTCAGGAGAAAAATTGCCTCCAGAACATGGCCATATAGCCCGGAAAAACCTACAACAACCCATTCTGATGAAATGCCACATAACACCAATCTGACTGCAGCTGCATTGGTTACCAATTGAGCACCAGATCACTTTCAAAGGGATGGTACTCACCTTGAAGGCCTTGCATGGTCTGGGGCCGATGTACCTGAGGGACGGCCTCACCCCCTACCAACCCCAGAGATCCCTCCGTTCTGAGGACCAAGATCTATTGGAAATTCCCAGTGTCAAGACCTTGCGCCTAACAGCAACCAGGCGCAGAGCCTTCACAGCAGTGGCACCATCGCTCTGGAATACTCTGCCACCTGAAGTCCGTGCCTTGAGGGACTTATCAGCTTTCCGCAGGGCATGTCAGACATATCTGTTTCGACAGGACTTTGGTTTTTGATATTACTGTTTTTAAATTGTGTTAGATTTTAGCCATTCTTGTAAGCTGCTCCGAGCCCCAGGGGAGTGGCCACATAGAAGTTCGAATAATAAATAAATAAGTAAGTAAATAAATAAATAAATAAAAGAACATTTTAAATCTCTCATGAAAGGACAATATGTGAGTTGTTGCAACTAATCACATGATTGTAAATATATTGTTCTTCTTGACGAAGAGTAAAGTACTCGTTCTTTATTGATGATCTGCCTGGCATATTTTCTTTCTCTGGCAAGGCAGTGTGTGGGCTGATCAAACATGAATTACACATTATTTTTAATTATGTCTCAAAGATACCTTGTGGAGTCCTGCGTCAGAGCTCTACTCACCTCCAGGTAGCGCAGGGCGCTCTCTGTTTCGGCAGTGCTCGCGCCACACTCTGCCCACAAAGGAGCCACATTGGTCGGGTAGAATGCCCGGTTGCGCCGCCGCCGCAGGAGGTTGTAGTCCAGCCAGGTCCCGACCTCTTGATCCCAGAAGACGGCCCGCACGGCCCGCTCTCGCTCCTCACGGGTGGCCTGGAACTGTTCGGCGGCCTTGGTGTTCCCTTTGGAAGAGAGGCGGCACCTGCCATCACAGAGCCTAGGAAGGGAGCCAGGCTTGGACCCCCACCCCCAAAGCACCCTAGATCCAGTGGTTTCCCTCACCCAAATCCCTATGGAAGGAGGCCAGGAGCCCCTCCACGCGGCAGAGGATGGCGTTCAGGTCCACCGGCACCACGGCGCTGGTCCTGAGGTCCTGCAGTCCGGCCTGGAGGGGAGGAGGTCCCGGGAGGAACCACCGGGAGGAGAAGTCCCAGCCGGACTCTGCGCCACTGTGCAGCTCCGACCAGAGCGCTCGCTGGGACACTGCAATGGGGTCCAAGAGAGAGAGAGAGGCGGCACTGAGAATAACAAGGCTCAAGGGCCAGTCCTTGCCTTGGCCCACAGGGAGGATGAGGAAGGCAGCAAGGGGGGGCTACCTTCGTCCAAACCGGCAGCTACTTCCACATCCTTCATGTAGGACTCTGGTCTGAGGAGAGAGATAGAGGAAGGTGTTGTTATTGTTCTTTGTATTGTCAAAGGCTTTCATGGCCGGAATCATTGGGTTGTTGTAGGTTTTTTCGGGCTATATGGCGATGTTCTAGAGGCATTTTCTCCTGACGTTTCGCCTGCATCTATGGCAAGCATCCTCAGAGGTTGTGAGGGCTGTTGGAACTAGGAAAGTGGGCTTATATATCTGTGGAATGACCAGGGTGGGACAAAGGACTCTTGTCTGCTGGAACTAGGTGGGAATGTTTCAACTGACCACCTTGATTAGCATATAATGGCCTGACAGTGCCTAGAGCAAACTTTTGTTGAGAGGCAATTAGATGTCCTTGTTTGTTTCCTCTCTGTTGTTGTAATTTTAGAGTTTTTAAATACTGGTAGCCAGATTTTGTTCATTAAAAAACTCTAAAATTAGAACAGCACAACAACAGAGAGGAAACAAACAAGGACATTGTGACGATGTGTAATTTTTATTCATATGGTTATGTGTTGTTTGAACAGTGGTTGATAAATGGTAAGTATGTAGGATTATATTTTGTTAGAGATGGTGGCTGATTTAGCCTGAGCTGAGTTGCCATAGCAACGGGGGCGGAGCCAACTGCCTCTTCACAGGGCAACTGTTTGAAAGTGGCAGTCTGTAAGCCAGTGAGCTACAGGGAAGACTGAATCTCTGGGTGGAAATTCAGGGAATTAATTTGTGACCAAAAGGGTTACAGGAAAGGACCCGGTAGTGATAAAACTACAGGGGGTTATTGATTCTGGGTTAAAAATCAAGGTTTGGCCGGGAACCAATTCTATTAAATAAGCCTTTCAGCTTATTTGTTTTATTAGGACAGTTGACCAGGAGAGATACATCTGCTTATAGAAACCTCTTGAAGTCTGTGCCTGAGGTTACTCATGAAACCTTACTAATGTAACCAGTCAAGATTCGTGCCTCTTGTGAAGAAACAATCAAATCTGTTATACCTTGCTTGTTCCAATAAAATTGTTACTGTTCTCCTCAAGTCTTGCCTGATACAGTTTCTCTTAAGTCAAACAGCCTGCATAAGAAGTAAAACCAAACCAGGGACAGAAAACGCTACGCTATCAATACTTCTGTAAATAATAGTCCCTTTATAAACCAGCTCATAAGCTGATATTGATCATTGCCCGGCTTTCCTCACAGATTAGGTGGCAGTAGTTTTACCCTCCTTCACAGACATCTAATTACCTCTCAACAAAAGATTGCTCCAGGCACTGTCAGGCCATCAAATGATAATCAAGGTGGTCAGTTGAAACATTTCCACCTAGCTCCAGCAGACAAGAATCCTTTGTCCCACCCTGGACCAGTTTCCTACTTCCAACAGACCTCACTACCTCTGAGGATGCTTGCCATAGATGCAGGCGAAACGTCAGGAGAAATGCCTCTAGAACATGGCCATATAGCCCGAAAAAACCTACATCAACCCAGTTATTGTTCTTGTTTGGAGGACCAGACTGGCACTTTGGTGGCCAGACCTATGACATGTGCCCCGCCTCACCTGGGCTCCCCCACCGGCACCTGGTAGCGGTTCAAGGTGTAGTCCCGGCCCCCCATGGAGACGTTGATGGCCCTCTGCTCTTGCCAGAAGCGGTACTCGGTCTCCAAAAGAGAGATGCTCTCCCTGGAAAAAGGCAGGAAGGGAACGCAGGAGCAGGTGCGAAGCCCCAAGGCTGGGAAACGGTCCCTGCTGTCCTTGCATTGCAAAGGGACCCTCCCATACACAGAATGGGGCTGGACAGGATGACCCTCCCACTCTGTGGAGCCTCACCTGAGGAAGGCGGTGTCTTTGGTGTGTGCCAGGTACTTCTCCACCATCAGGCTGAGGAGCGGGGGCTGGCTCCGGCGCACGTAGTAGACCCGGCCCCCGTTGGGGATGTGCCCAAACCTGTTGGTAAGTCGCAGTGGAACAAAGGCACGGCTCAAGGAGGCGCTGGAGCATGGCCAGAAGGATGCGCACAAGTGCAAGCGCATGACATGACAGGGCCCTCCTCCTTCAGCCCTCGCCCCACTCCCCTCCACTGAACCCCAGCTGGACACTCACTGCTGCACCAAGTGGAGGAAGTTCCTGATCATGCCCTGGGCCGTGGAGGTCATATTGCAGAGCAGAAGGCCTTCGATGACCCAGAAGGAGTCCCTGCAGGGAGAGGCTGAGGCTGTGTGAGTGTGCAGACCACCCCCTTGGGACCACCGAACGAAGCAGAAGGACCCTCCTCACTCACACACAGAAATCCTGAGTGTTCAGGGGATTTGGGGGGCCTCTTTAATAACACTTTAACACTTTATTCATAACTTTAATAATAACACTTTAACAATAAGTGTTTAACAATTAAAACTTGTGCACCAGTTGCACCCGTACCTTGGGAAGCCTGATCTGGCCACAGAGGTCCACGCTCTTGTTACATCCCGAATAGATTACTGCAATGCACTCTACGTGGGGTTGCCCTTGAAGACTGTTCGGAAACTTCAACTGGTCCAGCGAGCAGCAGCCAGATTGCTCACCGGAGCGTCATACATGTTGTGTCAGCTCCACTGGCTGCTGGTTCAGTTCCAAGCACAATTCAAAGTGCTGGTTTTGACCTACAAAACCCTATACGGTTCTGGTCCAGCGTATCTGTCCGAACGCATCTCCCTCTATGTCCCACCTCGGAGTTTAAGGTCCTCCGGGGAGGCCCTGCTCTCAACCCCACCGCTATCACAAGTGAGGTTGGTGGGGACGAGGAGCAGGGCCTTCTCAGTGGTGGCCCCTCACCTGTGGAACTCACTCCCGGGGGAAATTAGGTCATCAACTTCCCTCCTCTCCTTCAGGAGGAAATTAAAAACGTGGTTGTGGGACCAGGTCTTCGGGGAATTAGACAGCTAGATAAAGACAATTAGACGACTAGGACTGACAGGACTGACAAAGTGGAATTTGAATTTGGACTATGAGAAGGCGAACGCTGAGCGTTAATTAGGTGAAATCAGTTTTATTGGTTTTATTGTTGCAGTGCAGAAACTGATTGTTAATTGTTTAATTGCTGCTATATTGTTTTTATTCTACTGTTATGTTGATGCTGGCATCAAATTGTGCCTTTGTAAGCCGCCCTGAGTCCCCCTCCGGGGTGAGAAGGGCAGGGTAGAAGTATACAAAATAATAATAATAATAATAATAATAATAATAATAATAATAATAATAACACTTTAACACTTTATTAATATTAATGACACTTTAACACTTTATTATCTTTAGCAGGTGCCAAGGAACAGGCAGACCCCTCCAGGTCCACACTGACCAGCAGATAAAGAACTAGAAGTACGGAAAAGTACTTTTTTTTACCAGTAGTAGTACTCGATGAACCGTCCTCCCGGAACAATGAGTGGGTTCGGCACATAGATCAGGGAGTGGCGCTTAGGGCTGGTTTGGACCTCCGGCTTCATCTGGGGGCAAAGGGAAGGCGTGGGCATCTGCCTTGACACCCTCCCTCCCAACCCCCCCAAAGGTGTCCCAACTGCCCCCCACTTTGCTCTACCTTCCTGCCCAACTGCTTCCACTTGTCGTTGAGAGCCTGGGCCCAGGACCGCAGCCTCCCATCCGAAATCTTCTTCAGGACCGGGGGGCTAGGAAAGGATCACAAATGAAAGATGGAGGGATCGAGGATGGAAAGAAGTGGCCAGAAACTTGGGGTCCCCTTTGCAGCCCCCCTCCCGGGTGTGGGGGATGGGGATGGTGACCAAGCTATGTTCCGGTGAACACGTTCCTTGTGTTTTTCCGGTGAAGGGCGCTCCCCAAACACGTATGGGCATCAAGTCCTTGTTGGGGAGATGGTGATGGGGTATAAATAAAGGTTATTATTATGATCTTAATAGGCCTGTGCTACAGATCAGCTTTGTGTACCTGTCCGTCCAGTCCGGAGGCACCCAGCTCTCCAGCTCCTGTCCCGGAGGAGAGAAATGCCCCTCCACGAACACCTTCACCTGCTCTTGGGACAACGTGCCTCCAGCCGTGGCGTTGACCTGCTGCCAGAACTGGTCCAGGACCTCCTCTGTCGGAGCAAGGAGTGATGGTCATGGCAAGGGCCGGGCACACTCTGCCCATGGATGTGGGCACCAATGATGGTGGAGGGGGATCTTGGCCTCCACCTGGCCCTCCCCTCGCCTGCCAGGCCCTTCCTGGAACACCTCGCCTGCTTCTGCTCATGGGTGGCACCCAGTTGGCACCTTCCAAAGCTCAGCCTAATCCCGCCAGGTGTATTGACACAACCCAGAAGCTGGAAATTCTGGTCCTCCACCAACCAAGCATGGTGTGGTTTCCGTGTGAAGGGGCAACGCCCCCCTCCCTTTCCAAGGAGGGTGGAGGTGTGGGCCTATCCTCACCTGGGCTGGCCTTCAGGGGCATGTCCACAAAGTGCTTGTCATCCTGGAAGAGCTTGGCCTGCTGCACCTGCTTGAGGAGCTCTCCGGTGCAGTAGATCTGGCTGAGAAGAGCAGAGCATGAGGGTCACTTCTTGGACCCTCTTGTTTCCTGGACACTCAGAGGACACCTCTTCCCAGCCACTCCTCTGCCCTACCCACCTTCACCGCCAAGTATTTATTCAGGTATAAGGTTTCTTCTCATTCTTCCAGGTTGTCCACTGTCCTGGTGCCCATCTACCCACCTGCATTGTGTTCTGGCTCCCTGGCTTCCAGTAGTAAGCCAGTGAGACCTCTAGAGTTGCCCCCAATGCCACCCGAGCCAGGCATGAGGGTCACCTCTTGGACCCTCTTGTGTCCTGGACACTCAGAAGACACCTCTTCCCAGCCACTCCTCTGCCCTACCCACCTTCACCACCAAGTATTTATTCAGGTATAAGGTTCCTTCTCATTCTTCCAGGTTGTCCACTGTCCTGGTGCCCATCTACCCACCTGCATTGTGTTCTGGCTCCTTGTAAGCCAGTGTGAGACCTCTATAGAGTTGTCCCCCATGCCACCCTCAACTGGCTCCTCACTTGTCACAGGGGGGCATCATCTGCTGCCCAAATGCAGCACTGCAGACGGACAGGAGCAGCCACACCACTAGGACCGCCATCTCAGCAGCACGTCAGAAGGTCTACAGGCAAAGTCCAGCTGGGGAGGGCTATTAATAGGCGCTGGAGGAGGCATCGTCCCGCCCAGGGTTCTTCCGGGACGCATTGGGGAAGGACTTGGCCCAGCAAAGACGGAAGCAGAGCCTCAAGGCAGGACACAGCCACAGCTGCTCTGTGGACCTAGTTCCACCATTTTGGCCGTGTCCCTATTAGGACCACTCCATGGGCAAAAAGAAGGCTTCAAATAGATTGCCCAAAGGGTTAAATCAGGTATGGGGAAACTTGGGCCCTACATGTGTCTTAAGACTCCAAATCCCACAATTCCTAATAGCTGGTAGACTGCTAGGAATTGTGGAAGTCCAAAACACCTGGAGGGCCCAAGTTTGCCCATTGTTTTTGGTGTCAGGAGCGACTTGAGAAACTGCAAGTCGCTTCTTGTGTGAGAGAATTGGCCGTCTGCAAGGACATTGCCCAGATGTTTACCATCCTTGTGGGAGGCTTCTCTCATGGGGAGCTGGAGCTGACAGAGGGAGCTCATCCATGCTCTCCCTGGATTCAAGCAATGGAAAAGAAAGCCTTGGGGTGTACCTATGTTGTAGAAAGAACCCACTTTCACTGCCTTGGTTCCATGCTGTGGAGTCACTGGGGGGGGTTGTGTTGTAGTTTGACAAGGCCTTCAGCCTTCTCTGCCGAAGACAGCTGATGGCTCACCAAACTACAAATCCCAGAGTCCCATAGTGTTGAGCAAGGGCCCTGACATTAGATATAAGGTCCCTTAAGGAGCTGCTGAAACAGCTTCCCCTTTTGCTCAGCACGAAGATGACCCGATTTACTCAAATCTAATGTGCACCCTAATTTTGACGAGGTCATTTAACCCAAAGACTTGGGTCAATAGGGCATGTGGCAATAGGGCATGTGGCATTCCCTGTGTGATGTTCGGAGAAAGAGGTGAAAATATGTTAATGTTAATCTCCAAATACCATGGATCCTGTGAACAAGGCACGGGTAAGCTTCAGCTCTCCAGGTGTTTTGGACTGCCACTCCCACCATTCTGAACAGCCTCAGGCCCCTTCCTTTTCCCCCTCAAAAAAGGAAAAGGACTGAGGCTGCAGAGGGGGGAAAGGAAAGGGTCTGAGCCTGCCAAGGAGAAAAAGGAAAGGAACTGAGGCTACCGAGGAGCAAAAGGAAAGGGCCTGAGGACACCAAAGGAGAAGAGGAAAGGGACTGAGGGTGCCGAGGGGAAAAGAAACTGAGGCTGCCGAGAGGCAAGAGGAAAGGGCCCGAGGGTGCCGAGGGGCAAGAGGAAAGGGCCCGAGGGTGCCGAGGGGCAAGAGGAAAGGGCCCGAGGGTGCCGAGGGGCAAGAGGAAAGGGCCCGAGGGTGCCGAGGGGCAAGAGGAAAGGGCCCGAGGGTGCCGAGGGGCAAGAGGAAAGGGCCCGAGGGTGCCGAGGGGCAAGAGGAAAGGGCCCGAGGGTGCCGAGGGGCAAGAGGAAAGGGCCCGAGGGTGCCGAGGGGCAAGAGGAAAGGGCCCGAGGGTGCCGAGGGGCAAGAGGAAAGGGCCCAAGGGTGCAGAGGGGGGGAAGGAAAGGGACCGAGGCTGCTGACGGAGAAAAGGAAAGGGACTGAGGCTGCCGAGGGGGGAAAGGAAGGGGCCCGAGGCTGCCGAGGGAGAAAAGGAAAGGGACTGAGGACACCAAAGGAGAAAAGGAAAGGGACTGAGGCTGCAGAGGGGCAAAAGGAAAGGGACTGAGGCTGCTGAGATAGAAACGAAAAGGGACTGAGGCTGCCGAGGGGGAAAGGAAAGGGACTGAGGCTGCAGAGGGGGAAAAGGAAAAGGACTGAGGCGGCTGAGGGGCAAAAGGATTGAGGATACCGAGGAGGAAGTGGAAAGGGACAGATGCTGCCAAGGGGGGGAAAGGAAAGGGACTGAGGCTGTTCGGAATGGAGAGAGCTGAAGTCCAAAACACCAGGAGGAAAGGCCCAACTTTGCCCATACCTGCGGTAAACCCAATCCAGGGGACCCATGAGGCCAGAGGCCACACTCCACCAACAGTCAACAGAAAAATGAAGACTACGAGCAGACAAGGCTTGAGTCCCAGTGAGCTTTTATTGAGCTAATTCTCTTTTGTTTTCAAACCAGTCAGGGTTGCATCTTTCATCGTTCCCGCCCTCTGACGCAGCCACCGGCCCTTTCCAATACATCATTTGCGTACAGAGAGAACACATTGAACCAAAACTGAGCTCTGCTGGACATCTGCCAAGTACCAGTTTTCCCACCAAAAAAAAAAAAAGAGGGTTATTTCCCCTTTCCCCACCCCTCCCCACCTGCCCACCCACCCGTTTCCAAATGGTAGTCCCCACTGGCCTGGTCGGGGGACCAACAAAATAGTAGGTTGTTTGAACCCAACGCAAAAAAAAAAAAGAGAAGTGTGTCCCTCTTCTGTTTTCCAGTTTGTCAATAAAGGGAATCTTTTGACGTATTTCAGTTTCCCAGAACCCCCCCCCCCCCCAAATTTGGTTAAAACACAGCCAAGCTGCATCTTAGAGACCCCCCCCCCCCAAATCCCACCCCAATCACCTGGAGAGGGCTTGCAGATCATGCTTCCTCCGCTCTCCCTTTCGGAGCCTGAAGTGGAAGCCATAGAGGCCAGGGAAAGATGGAGGTGCCCCATGATCCAAGCTTCTTGGCCCCTCCCAGGCTCGAAAGGGAGCTCTGCCTCAAGGCCAGGGAAAGATGGAGGCGCCCCATGACCTTCCTGGCTCTTTCCAGGCTAAAAAGCGGGCTCTAGCTCACACGACAATGCCGGCTGCCCCTTGGACCCAGCAGCAGGTGTCAGCTCACTGCCAGGCCCAAGGGACACCCTGCACGCGCCCACAAAGGCCTCGCTCACCTGGCCAGCCCTCTCCAGGTGAACCCACCCACCCATAAAAGAAAGACACTAGAATGAGATGCTTGACAAGAACAGCCTCTGCCGCCTCTGCGCCCGGCTTCCATGATCGCACCCAACCCCAGCGACGGGCGCAAAGGCAAAAGGCCGGAGGAAAGATGCTCCCACCTCATTCTAGAGAAAAGAAATAAAACTCAAGAGCCCACCCACCCCCCACCCCACCCCGGGGAAATTCAAATCCAGCGAATTTTGGGAAGAGATGTGATCCACCTTCACCAAGGGCCGAACTGGCCCCAAAGGCATCTGAGCTTTCTCCTTTTCAGCTGTGGCCAAGGGGAATCGGAACTTTTACAAACGCAAATTTAGAAATGTTTTGAGTGTTTTTGGACAAGGGGGAAAAAAGGGGGCTGGGTCTCCCCAGCCCGCATTTGGAGCATCTTTCCTTTTAGAAATAGTCCCCCTGCGCTCTGGATAGAGAGACAGAGAGAGGGGGACCGCTACTAGCCAAGGTCAGGTGGCCCTCTGACCCGGGAAAGGCCACCCAAAATGGCCACGCTGGCCGCTCCTCTGATGGGCGGCCCCACGGAGAGTAATACTTTCCATTTTAAAATGCTGTGCTTCGAGAGTGACTTGCGGGGCAAAGGGGCCACCTCCACTCATGGCACCGTGGGGGCAGTGCGCAAACACAGGCGCTCGCAACCAAGGCCCCAGGGCTCTGCACACGTGTCCCTTTTGCACTGAAACTGCCCCTTCCTCCTCCTCCTCCTCCTCCTCTGCTGGGAAGGTGGACGGCCGTAGCCAGCAAGGCATTACTTTTGGTCAGATTTGCCTATCTTGAAGAGAGAATCCTTGCCCACCGCCCGCCCACCGCCCCAGCAGAGGGGTTGCTCTTTAGTGCAGCTGCTGCTACGACAACGTTCCTGTGGAGTTACTCATAGACACAAAACAATTTCACGGTGAAAGAGGGCTCTGCCAGGAGGCACCAGGATCCGGCACGCATGTCGGTGGGGAAGCCGTCCCGCCTGCCAGAGGAACCAAGGCGAACCTCGGCCCCAGAAGGCAAGGAGGCCGGGGAGGAAGGGGCGCAAGTGCAACGCCTGAATGCGCGGCGTCCAAGAGGGAGGGACGAGGGAAGGAGTTGAGGGCGGCTGCGTGCCTCTCCCAGTGCCTCCTGGCGGCCCGTTGCTGGTCAGGCTGGAAAGGGAATTCTTAAGAAGTTTACAGGTTCGAGTTGTCTCACTCCTTTTGCCTGCAGATCAGGCCAAACACCAAGCATATGTTGGGAGGGGCACAATTTCAGGCAACACTGCAGGGCCTCCCACTGAGGAGGAAGAAGAGGGCATGCGGAGGGGGGGAAAAGAGCCCAGCGCTTGGGCCTGGCCTGCTTTGGGGTCGCTCGAGGAAAGCGGAAGCGAGGGCTCCAGAACCGGCCAGTGGCTTCTGCCACCTGTCCTCCCAAATCCACGCTCTCTGTGCACCGAGGCAAAGGAGCTCTTCTCCCCCTGGTAATTTAGTCATCTGTTTACTTTGTTGTAGTTTTCTTTTCTTTCTTTTTCGAGGGGGTGGGGAACCTAAACGAGTGCCTCGAGAGGAGCCTTGCTTTCCTTTTGACCCACGGTCTCTTAAGTGTCACCGAGCGCTACAGCAGGCCCAACCCATGGGAAAGCGAAGGGGGACTTGGCACGGAGCAGTGTTGCAGGAAACTGAGCCCCTCTCACCTTTAGCTGCTGTCAAGATCTCTCGATAAATCCCTTTAAGCCCAGCAGACTTCATCAAAAACAAAAAAAGGAAAAAAAAGTTATATATGAACCCATAACAGGGAGAGAGAGAGAAGAAAAAAAACAAACACTTATTTACAGAGTCTATACAAGTATACACATCCAATTCTCAGCAGAGCCCGCTTCAGAGAGGAAAGACCGCCCCCCACGGTTCTGAGACGAGTCTACCTCGCAAGGGCCGCCAAAGGAGACTCGGAGGGAGGGACCAGTCGTTCGAGGGCAGTGTTCCCGTCGAGGCCGAAGCTCCTGGCAAGTGGCTCTTTCCTCCGCTCCATCGACCCAGGCGGTCCAGGTTGCTTCGCTTAAATACAGGTTATTTACAAAGTGGGTGAACGGCAACTGCGTCTCAACTCCTCCATTGTGTTTTGCTTTTTAAAAAAGGTCGAACGAAAAAGCAAAAAGGGGATTTGTGTGTGTGTGTGTCTGTGTGTTTTGGACAAGGGTCGCCGCCTCCGGGCCCGGCTTGTCTGCAGAAGGGAAGGGAAGGGAGGAAGGGGCGGAGAGGGGAGCTGTTGACCTGAACCAAAAGGACTCCTTGGGCTGTTGATCTCTGAAAGGTGATATATTCTGAATGGTCTCGTAGCATAAGGCACTTTGCACAAATAAGTAACAAGCTCTTTAGCTCAGAAGACAGATGAGGAGCCGGGGAGAAGTTGAAATGCACTCAGGGGTTGGACCTGGAATCATTGCAAGGAAAGCTCTGTCTGGGGGGAGTTTGGGAGTCTCCTCTGCTCAGAGTTCGGCTTCTTCGGCTTCTTCTTCTCCGCCACAAAGAAAGAAATTAAAACCAGCAGTTAGTGCAACCAATGTCCAGTCGGCACACAGTGCAACGAACGTGTGGGGAAAACAAAAAGGTATTTCCGTCCTGTCTTCTGCTTTCGTCCTCACAGCCAAATTAAAAAAAAAATAGGGAAAAAGGGGGATCTCAGCTCTTTAATCTTCATAGTTCCAAACAAACAAACAAAATAAAGATGAAAAAAATAACCCACAAAGAGAAGGGCTTCCCCAAAGAAAGGATGCATCACATGTCCAGATCAAAGGGCTCTTTTTGCTTGAGTGTTTAAGCGCAGCCTAGGAAGGAAAGAAAGAGAGGCGCCCATCAGTCTGCAAACAGGCCCGGCACAACCCCCCTTCGAGGCAGGCCATGACAACCCGTGGCCATCCAGGTATATTTTAGACTTCAGCTCCCAGAATTCCTGGCCCTCAAACAAGCTGGAAAGAGGGGCTTCTGGGAATCAGAGGCCCAAAACACCTGGAAGGCTGCAGGTGGAAGAGCCCTGCAAACCCCCCATTGCACCCTCTTGCCAAGATGCCCAGAAGGAAAAACCCATGCCGTGGGGCAAATAACTCTTCTTCTCAGAACAACCTGACTGTCCAAAGGAAGCCATGCCTCCCCCACTGAACTCAAAGGACCGGAAGACAAAGGTGGCCATTATTATTATTATTATTATTATTATTATTATTACTATTATTATTATTATTCACTTGGTTTACACGCCACCTTTCTCCCCATACGGACTCAAGGTAGCTCACAACCAAACAATCGAAGCACAATTGGAAACTAAGCAAATAGAATCATAAGAGTTGTGGGCCCTCCAGTCCAACCCCATTCTGCCAAGAAGTAGAAAAACCGTATCCAAACAATTCAAACATTAGTGTATTGATATGAAGTGAAAATACCATATATACTTGAGTATAAGCCAACCTTAAATATAAGCCGAGGCACCCAACTTAACCACAAAAAATAAATAAATGGGAAAACGTATTGACTTGTGTATAAGCCAAAGATGGGAAATGCAGCAGCTACTGGTAAATTTCAAAATAAATATATATATCAATAAAATTACATGTATTGAGGTATCAGGAGGTTAAAAGTTTTTGAGTATTTACATGAAACTGCAATTTAAGATAAGACTGTCCAACTATGATTAAACCATCATTCTAACTTTCTTCAATGTAAATGTGCTGACGTATCCTTCCAATAATAACAAAGAGAGTAAAATAATGGAAATGTAATAACAGTAATGATAGAGCAAAATAATAAATGTAATAATAGAGTAAAATAATGGAAATGTAATAACAATAGAGAAAATAATAAATGTAGTAATAAGAGTAAAACATAAATTTAATAGTAAAATAATGTTAATGTAACAGTAATCATAGAGTAAAATAAGAGTAAAATAATAAATGTAATAATAATAATAATAATAATAATAATAATAATAATAATAATAATAATAATTAGATACATCCTACCTCTGTTCACACCCAGGGTTTATTTTAAAAATTTTAATTTATTACATCTGGCCTGGCCATAAGGTTTTATATGTAAGTTATATTAATTGTACTGTTGTATTTGTTTGCTGCTTTGTTTTTACTGATGTGTTGTTGGGCTTGGCTTCATGTAAGCCATCCTGGGTCCCCTTGGGGAGATGGTGGTGGGGTATAAATAAAGTATTATTATTGTTGTTATTATTATTATTATTATTATTATTAAATAAAGTATTATTGTTGTTATTGTTATTGTTATTGTTATTATTATTATTATTATTAAAATAATAAATGTAATATTAATAACAGGGTAAAATAATAAATAAGCCAAGGGGGGCTTTTTTAGCCTTGAAAAAGGGCTGGAAAACTCGGCTTATACTTGAGTATATACGGTACATCAGGGCATTGTGAGTGAGGGCCTGGTGTCAAGGCAGTCTCAAGCTCTTGGGAAGACACCAACACATGCACTCAGCCTCCCCGAGTTCAAAATCCATTGGAAATCATGGGGTGTCACAGGGCCGTGTGATAAACCCTTATCTGCCCTGATAAATGAGGGCATTAGTGGCTAATAAGTGCAAAGGGCAGAGTGGCCCTGGCGCAGTCCAAAGGCTGGCACCCACGTGACCCCGCTGCCAATGAGCCTGGGCATGCTTTTGGGGGGTTTGGGAGCCCACCCCGAGGGGACCGCCCGGCTGCCCTGGCCTGCCCACCCAGCAGGGCCCGATACGTACGCGGCCCTTACGCTTTTCCGTCTTCTCCGGGCTCGCTGTGGTATTCCGCCACGTACAGGCTCTTGTCGATGTTGCTGGGGATGGGCTTGATCTCTGTCCCCAGCTGCTCTTCAATACTTTTCAGGTTGAATCGATCATCGTAGGTGATCAAGTTGATGGCCAGGCCGAGGTGGCCAAATCGCCCTTTAGAGGAGGAAACACACTTTGGTCTTGATTGGTCATTAGATGAGTTTTGCAGCAGTCTTGGGTAGTGGAGGTACTTGAAGTCCCATCATCCATGGTCTGTCGTCCTCCAAACTGCTCCAGGATGTAGAGTGGGTCATTGAAGCTCCATGTGCCAAGTTTAGTCTTGATGAGTCATTGGCGAGGGTCTCAGTGGTCTCAGGAAGTGAGTGAAGTGACTGCAAGTCCCATCATCCATTGTCAAATTCTTCCAAACCGCACCAGGATGTAGAGTGAGTTATGCGGGCTCTCTGTGTAAATTGTGGTCCTGATCCATCATTGTTGGCAGTTATAATGGTCTTAGGAAGGGAGTGCAGGTATTGCAAGTCCCATCGTCCATGGTGCATCCTCCTTCAAACTGCACCTGGATGTAGAGTGCGTCATGGAGACTCAGTGTGCCAAGTTTGGTATTTTTGGTAATTGGATGAGGGTTGCAGTGGTCTGAAGAATGAGAATGGTACTGCAAGTCCCATAATCCACAGTCCATCCCCAGCCAAACCACACCAGGACGTAAAGTGGGTCATGAGAGGTCTCTGTGCGAAGTTTGGTCCTGATCAGTCATTGGATAAGGTTAACAGCGGTCTCAGAATGTGAGTGATGGTACTGCAAGTCCCATCATCCATGGTTCATGCTCCTCCAAACTGCAGTAGGATGTAGAGTGGTGATGGGGGCTCTGTGTGCCTATTTCGATCTGTATTGGGAGTGTTCTGACCCAGCCCCGGCCTTTCCTTTCCTCTCTTTCTCATCTCGGAATGTTGGATTTGAGGCTGGCCAATCAGAGACCATATGCAAATTTCCTTCTGTCATGCCCCGTTTCTGCCATGAGCCCTCTTCTCCACCAGGGGCTCCTATTGAAGGTGGCCAATCAGAGACCATATGCAAATAGCACCGCAGCGGCAGCCAATCAGAACGCTGCCACATACTCCTTCCTCTGTCCGATACAAACATTCTCTGTTGTCTTATTGCTAATGTTGTATATTTTATTGTCTATGTTTTTATTTTAATTGCTTGTACTGTTGTTGTTATTATTGCTTGCTTGTATTGTTGTATTTGGGCTCGGCCTCATGTAAGCCGCACCGAGTCCCTTGGGGAGATGGTACCAGGGTATAAATAAAGTGTTATTATTATTAGTAGTAGTTAGTAGCCCTCATTCTGAGAGAGGCCTCTATGTGAGGGAGGCCTCAGTGGGAGAGAAGGCCTCAATAGGAGAAAAGCCTCAGTCTGAGAGAGCCCTCAGTGGGTGAAAGGCCTGGTGTGAGAAGGTTTGGTGAAAGAAAGCCCCAGTTTGAAGGCCGTCATGTGGGAAGCTCCAGGCTGCTGTGTGTAAAAAGCTCCTATGCAACTTTGATGTGAGGGGAAGCTCTGTGAAAGCAAAGCTAGAAGCAGTTTATCTGCATGAGAAAGAAGCCCAGCGTGGAAGCAACGAAGGAAGTATAAAGAACTTTATTCGTGTTTTGGAAACCTTGTTCTTGTAAATACTGCAACCATATTATTTTCCTATAATGAAAAGCCTCCTATGGAAGAGATAGCATTGGTCTGTGTGTTTTTGTCCATTTTTATCACTTTGGGCTCCTGGTGATGGGTCATGATGCTTCTGATAAGTTACTCCGCTGTGCATTTATGAGGAGGGTCTTTTGTTAATAAGCCCTCTCGCCCAAAAAGGGTTATGGGCCCAGTTTAGCTCTCAGTGTAACTCAGTGTACCTCAGTACACATATCACACACATATAATCGCACATAATACACACACACATATTACAACCAGTCTTTCTTATACAACTAACATTCAAGCACCACTCTTGTTCTGTCAAAAACCGGCCTACAAATCCCTCACCAAACTGTTATACCACAACTAACCCATTACCCACAGCGTAACAATTATAATTGCTATCCAGTGGTTTCGCATATTTACAGTATATTCTGGCGTATAAGACTACTTTTTAACCCAAGAAAATCTTCTCAAAAGTCAGGGGTCGTCTTATACGCGGGTGTAGTCTTATGCATGGGAGTTGTCTTAACTCTATATTTTAACTGGAAAAGTTGAGGGTCGTCTTATACGCCCAGTCGTCTTATATGCCGGAATATACGGTATTTATTCCGGGCTTTTATATCCCATCCTATCTCAACCTCTGCAGAGGGACTCAGGACGACTAACAAATCGGCATCCCATGGTGCCCACATCAAAAACATAGATACACAATTTAACGGCAGTATAATAATAATTTCTTTTATATATTTATATATATATATATATATATATATATATATATATATATATGAGACTGTATTTTAGTATTTTAATGTTTTAGTGTATTATGGGATGTGATGTTTTCAAACGATTGTTTGTGATACTGTTGTTGTGAACCGGCCTGAGTCCCTCTACGGAGGTGAGAAGACCGGTATATAAAAGTTCTAAATAAATAAATAAATAACAATATCCAAACGTATCTCCTGCTATGAACCATCACGAAGCTGAAGACCATCAGGAGAGGCCCTGCTCTCGATCCCACCACTCTCGCAAACGTGGTTGGTGGGGATGAGAGACAGGGTCTTCTCGTCATTGGCCCCCCTTCTGTGGAACTCTCTCTCTAAGGATATCAGGTTGGCCACCTCCCTCCTGTCCTTTAGAAGACAACTGAAGACCTGGCTCTGGGGCCAAGCATTCGCTTAAGAGGCCAGCAGCAATAGGAAAAAGAAATTTGGATTTTGCAACATGGACTCTCCCGGCTCGGCTTGGTTTTACTGGCACGTTAATCTATTAATTTATTGTTAAATTTTACTGATGATGTTATACAATGTTTTAAAAATGATTTTATTGTGAATTGTAATTTTTATGGTATTTATGCTGTTAGCATCCTCTGATGCTCCTGTGAGGCTGCGCTGAGTCCCCCTTGTGGGAAGAAGGGCGGGATATAAATATATGAAATAAATAAATAAGACAGTATAAAACAATGTAAAACAGTATAAAAACAATCAATCAATCAGTCAGTGATCGCCGGTTGAAATCATCATCCAAGGGCACTCAATCAGTTCTATATAAGTCAGCAAGTCAGCCTCATCTAGAAAGGAGCAACACTGGGAAGGACATCACCGCCAAAAGAATGAAAACAAGGCAACCAAACAGCATCAGCGCCCTCACCTGATCTGCCAATACGGTGGAGATATGTCTCTGCCAGCTTTGGAAAATCAAAGTTTATCACAACATTCACAGCTTGGATATCAATACCTCGGGTAAACAGGTCTGAAAGACAAGCAGCCAGAGTTAGAGAAGCAGACCAAGAGCCCAGATGGTGCTCCCCCAACAACAGTAAGCCCCCCCTCCCCCCCCCGGAACCTCTAGAAAGATTTTACATGAACAGAAGACGTGGCTTATGCTGAATTGCATTTTTTTTACTTTGTCTACTGGCTATTAGGAATTGTGGGAGTTTAAGTCCAAAACACCTGGAGAGAGGAGGACCGAAGTTGGCCCACGCATGATCTAAAGTGTGGCAAGTGCCTGATGCCCCCGCTATCTGTACAAACGCACAGCCATTGGAAAGTAAGTCACATTAGGGGAGGCAGGTCCGAGGGAAGACAAAGGGCGACTCACCAGTGCAAACGAGATTGCGGCATAAGCCATTCCGGAAATCGTGGAACACGCGATTGCGGTGCTCCTGGAAAAAGACAACAGGAGGGAAGAGTTACTGGATGGAGCCACCCAACCTTCAGAGACGTCTCTCTCTGCCCCCCTTGGAAATAACAGGCTCCCAAATACAGGAGACAAGGCGACTGGAGGAAGCAGCTCTTCATATGCAAGGCCAACACTGGTGCTGAAGGCGGAGGCCTGTCCTTCACCCTCAGACCAGAGAGCCAAAATGTGGTCTGACATGCAGGAAATATGGCAGCTGCAAAGGATGAGGATGACCTGAGGAAGCCTTTTCCTCCCCTGCCTCAGTCAGGAGCCATTTGCATCCAATTGCTCAGAACTTTGCACCCACCTGTCTCATCTTTGCATGTATGTAGAAACACGAATATCCCAGCTGGGAGATTTTCTTCGCTAGCAGTTCGACCCTTTGGGAAGAGTTGCAGAAGATGATCGACTGGTTGATTTGGAGCTAAACACAAACACAAAAGAGGCATTAAGTTTTCACTCTTCCTATCTTTTTTAAAAAGATTTTATTTATAAACTAGCTGTCCCCTGCCACGTGTTGCTGTGGCCCACATGGGGCTTCTGTGTGGGAGGTTTAGCCCAATTCTATCGTTGGTAGGGTTCAGAATGCTCTGTGATTATAGGTGAACTATAAATCCCAGCAACTACAACTCCCAAATGTCAAGATTCTATTTTCCCCAAACTCTACCAGTGTTCACATTTGGCCATATTGAAAATTCGCGTAGAGTTTGGTCCAGATCCATCATTGTTTGAGTCCAGAGTGCTCTCTGGATGTAGGTGAACTACAACTCCAAAACCAAAGGACACTGTCCACCAAACCCTTCCAATATTTTCTGTTTGTCATGGGAGAACTGTGTGCCAAGTTTGGTCCAATTCTATTGTCGGTGGGGTTCAGAACGTTCTTTGATTGTTGGTGAACTATAAATCCCAGCAACTACAACTCCCAAATGACAAAATCAATTTCTTTGAGCGAAGGACATACATTGGGTTGTTAAGTGTCTTGTGTCCAAATTTGGTGTCAATTCCCCCAGTGGTTTTTGAGTTGTGATGGTATCACAAACGAACATTACATTTTTATTTATATAGATGTGTGCAACAAAATGTATAAGCATACATTCTTCTCTCTTTTTACAGTATCTTAGACAAAAGAGTATGTCATATTATATACAATCTAACAGTAAATAAACATCAAAACATCTTTAATCATATTTCTTATCATTATTTTTAAATTTCCATTACAACTTATACTACATATAACTCTATCACACACCTTTTATCCACTTATACATATTGTATTTCTTTATTAATTATTACTATTACTATTATTATTATTATTATTATTATTATTATTATTCCTTCCCCTTCCCCTTAGTTTGTGCCCCCTTCACCAGGACCAACCAACTCATGTTGTTTCACCATTCCAAAATATCATTGTTTCTCTTGCTGGCTTATACCCCTTTCCCTCATTAAACACATACTCAATTTTCTCCATATTTTCCAAAAGTCTGTTTGTTTACATATTCCCCTTTTAATTTTAATATTGCAAGTTAGCTTATCATTAATCGCTATATTCCAAATTTCCCTATACCATTCTTCTAATTGAATTTCTTTTTTTTTTCCTTCCAATTTTTTGCTATTAACTAATTGAATTTCTTTCTTTTTTTGCATATTCAAAGAAATAAGAGCAATAATAAAAAGAGAGATCGAGATTACACCAAAATTAGCATTATTACTTATACATGATAATATAATTCCCTTACAAGAGGAGAAAGAATTGGTTTCTAATTTGGTAACAGCAGCTAAATTGTTAATAGAAAAACTAGGAAGAAAAAAAACTCTTGCTAACTTCTAAGGCAGGGGTCCTCAAACTACAGCCCGGGGGCCAGATACGGCCCTCCAAGGTCATTTACCCGGCCCTCGCTCAGCGTCCACCTAAGTCTGAAACGACTTGAAAGCACACAAAACAACAAAAACAACAACCCTATCTCATCAGCCAAAAGCAGGCCCACACTTCTCACTGAAATACTAATAAGTTTATATTTGTTTAAATTGTTCTTCATTTTAATTATTGTATTGTTTTGTTTGATTTTTGCACTACAAATAAGGTATGTGCAGTATACATAGGGATATTTTTTTTCAAATTAAAATCCGGCCCTCCAACAGTTTGAGGGACTCTGACCTGGCCCTCTGTTTAAAAAGTTTGAGGACCCCTGTTCTAAGGTAATGGCTGAAGGACAGTGAGACTAATATATTGAACTGTGGGCTTGGCAGATTATACTTTCTCCTCAGACTACAGCGTGCCATCTACCTTTATTGCATTTTGTTCTGTGGGTGGTAACTGGCCCACTGTTTAGGTGCAAGGATTATGTCTTTGGCCTTGTGATACCCCCCCCCCCCCCGTGTTCCTGGATGGGGGAATAGCACACGGCTCACCCTGGAGAAGAGTGTGTTGAGACAATGCACTTTCTGGCGCTCGGTCACGTAGGCGTAGTACTGGGTCACTCCCTTCAGGGTCAGCTCCTCCATCAAATTAATCTCATAGGGTTTCTGCAAGTGGGAATTCTGGAAAAAGAAACATCCAAACATGTAGGGAAACAGAACCAGGGCCCAGGTGCCCCTCCGCCTTCAGGCGTGTGTGACAGGAAAGGCCACAAATGCACTCACCATAAACTTCTGTACACTGAGAGGGAATGTGGCAGAGTAGAGCAAGATCTGCCTGTTTTTGGGGAGCGTGAGGATAATGTCCTCCATTATCTGAACAAAATCTTGGGAGAGCAATTTGTCTGCCTGCAACGAGGAAAAAACCAACAGACACATCGTTTACCACTCTCATTAACACCCTGCCCTTCTTCACAGATCATTTATTTGAGTCATGCAGCTATAACCTCTTTCAATGCAGAAATAATAGATTTGAAGTGATTTTCAGGTTTTATCTCTTTATATCTAAAGGTAAGCAGGATATTACTTAATAATAATACATCTTCCCTCGCGAGCTGCCTTAACACAGACCTGAAACATAACCTGTAGCTCAGTAGCTGAATACTTTAACATGTAAAGAGCAGAGGCTGCAACTCACCTCATCTAGGACGATCATCTGGATGTGGTCCACCTTTGCCACTCCTTTCTTGATGAGATCCAGAATCCTCCCCGGCGTGGCAATCACCACATGCACTGCAAAGGGAAAAGACAATGAAGGTAGAGCAGTTCCTCCCAGTGGGAGAAGCCCAGCAGCCCAAGGTCCCCCCAAAAGCCGGCCTGGCGCCCACCTGTGTCGTCCAGCCGCATGATGTCGTCACGCAGGTTGGTGCCTCCGGTGGTGGCCATCACTTTGGCCCCTCCCATGTGTTTGCTGACCTGGATGCAGATCTGGCTGACCTGCAGAGCAAGTTCTCGTGTGGGAACGATCACCATTGCTGTAAGAGAGAAGCCACGCGTTCTGACTCTGATAATAGCACTATGAGCTTTAGACCCGTCGCAAACTAGGCTCCTGCGGGAGCAAACCTTGCCAGCACGTCCCTGACGTCATGAGACTCCGCCTCTCGCCCCGCCCTTTTCTCCGTGCCAGAGTGGTTTTTCCTTTGCTAGGGCAGCATTGCCAGCGTATTCTCTCAGTTGGCAGAATTCAACTGAGACTAGAACGCTGGCAATGCTGCCCTAGCAAAGGAAAAACCACTCTGGCACGGAGAAAGAGGCTGAGAAAGGGGCGGGGCAAGAGGCGCAGCCTCATGACGTCAGGGACGTGCTGGCAAGGTTTGCTCCCGCAGGAGCCTAGTTTGCGGCGGCTCTTAGGAACGAAACTTCAGAAGTCTAGGAAATGTCATATCTGCACACTACCCCAGGCATGGGCAAACTACCAGCTGTTAGGAATTGTGGGAGTTGATGTCCATTAACACCTGGAGGACCCAAGCTTGCCCATGGTCTACACTAGCTTGATGAGGGGAAAGTCCACTGTGTTTTTATTATTTATTTATATTTATTTATCCTATTTATACCCTGCCTTTCCTCACCCTGAAGGGGACTCAAAGTGGCTTACATATTAAAATACATACAATCCAGTAACATTAAAATTAATACATATTAAGAAGTTAAAATGCTTAAAAACATTACATTCAATATAAAATGTGCCATCCATAATCGTAGTCCAAAGACGTTCCATAGTCACTGCACATATTCCAAATCTGTTATTGCAGTGCATTATTCTCCGAAAGCCTGATCCCAAAGCCAAGTTTTTGCTTTCCTTCTGAAGGCTAAGAGGGAGGGGACTGATCTAATGTTGCTGAGGAGGGAGTTCCAGAGCCAAGAGGCCACCACTGAGAAGGCCCTGCCTCTCATCCCCACAAGTTGCGCCTGCGAAGGAGGCAGGACTGAGAGCAGGGCCTCTCCAGGTTATCTAATCTCTGAGGTGGTTCATAGGTGATTCTGAGGTGGGTGAGGGTGGGGCTGTTTGATTTGGAGTTTACGTGTTTGGTTACTGTTGTCTTTTAAGATTATAATAAAATGAAAAAAGAAAATTACCAACAAGCTATACAGATCAAGGAAGGAGTGGACAGAGTGAATGCATGCAAAACATTTAACTAAACAAAACTTCCTGATTCCAAGGCAGAACAGCAGAAAACCACAAACGCTTCGGGCCAATCTCTTAAAAAGTTAAGATGGGGCATGCAGAATCACAACAAACAACAATATGGCCCAGCATTCTGTCTCAGAAGGGCAGTGGCCAAAGGAAGCCCAATTCAAGTAATCTGAAATGACTGTGTATGTGTGAGAGATCCATGTGGACAGGGTGTATTTTTAATGGCTTTGTTCTGGCTTGGTTTGCAAGATCAAGTCAGTTCATCTCAAGAGAACACAACCTGGGGATCACAACCAGACACTGTGAAGACATCTGCCCTTGCGCTATGCTACTCTGCTGCTGAGTATGCATGCCCAGTGTGGAACACATCTCACCACGATAAAACAGTGGATGTGGCTCTTAATGAGACATGCCGCATTATCACGGGGTGTCTGCGCCCTACACCACTGGAGAAATTACACTGTTAACCGGTATTGCGCCACCCGACATCTGCCGGGTAGTAGCAACCAATAGTGAAAGGACCAAGGCAGTGACATCTCTGGCTCATCCTCTGTTTGGGTATCAGCCAGCACATCAACGACAAATCAAGAAATAGTTTTCTAAGATCTACAGAGACACTCGCTGGAACACCTCAGCAAGCGAGAGTCCAAAAGTGGCAGGCTCAAACCCAGAACCCCAATCAATGGCTGATACCAAATGAGAGACTCCCCCCTGGGCACACAGAAGACTGGGCGACTTGAAAGGCGCTGAAAAGACTGCACTCTGGCACCATGAGATGCAGAGCCAAACTTAAGAGATGGGGCCACAAAGTGGAATCCACGACATGCGAGTGTGGAGAAGAGCAAACCACTGACCACCTGCTGCAATGCAACCTGAGCCCTGCCACATGCACAAGGGAGGACCTCCTTGCAGCAACACCAGAGGCACTACAAGTGGCCAGATACTGGTCAAAGGACATTTAATCAACTGCCAAGCTTGCAAACTTTGTGTTTTGTCTGTTTGTTTGTTAAAAAATGCAATACAACTGTTTGGTTTGCTCCTGACACGATAAGTAAATAAATAAATCTCATGAGAAACTCTCTTGTCTCTCAGCCTGACATCACTCGGGGAAGAGGACTCTTGGCAGTAAAAGCAGGGCCTCAAAGGGATGCTGCGACGGAGGTGTCAAGGGATAAAAGAGTGTTCCTTTCAACCAACCTTGTATGTAGTCCTTTTTTAAGTCCAGCCGTTCAAGTAAGGGAATGAGGTAGGCGCCACTCTTGCCGGTTCCGTTCTTCGCTCTAGCCAAGATGTCTCTTCCAGACAAAGCAATGGGGATGCTCTCCTCCTGAAAGGGGCCACAGGCGTCAGTGGGAAACAACACAAAGCTTGCTATGCTTCATCCACCCAGAGAAGTCTCCTGGCACCTCCAAGCCCGCTCCCCACAGGCTGGTGCACTCCCAACACCATTCAAAAACCAGCACTCTGTACCCACCTGAATAGGAGATGGTTTCTCCCAGCCCATTTCAAAAATTCCCATCAGCAATTCCCGCTTTAGGCAGTAATCTTCAAATTCATTTCCTTTAGTGGATGTCACATCCTGAAGATGGAAAGAGGTCAGTCACACTCCAAATTTTCACAAGATAGTCTTAACACAAGAGGCATTTCCAGTGCAGGAAGTGACCAATAAGCAAAGCTAAATTACCTTGCATTCAATTAATCTTATTTCTTATCAGAAGCAAGAAATATGGCCAACTATACTTTGTGCATCGATGCAGAACTTTGTGGGCCTGTCTGCCAAGGCCAAAGTAATCACTGTCCAAGTTTATCTCACCAAGTGGAAATAGAAAGTCTTTGGCTAATTCCACCTCAAATTCAGATTTTGCAGCCCACCAGAGGAAACCCAGCCCCTATCCAGACCGACGGCAGCTTCAGGAGCCCTTACCGAAGTTTTGATTCTCAGATCTTTTGGAGGGAGTTTTAAAGTCTTCTTCCAGTCATCGCCAGGTCTGAAGGGAGAAAACAATGTCATTATCAAGCTCCAGGGAAGTACAGAAGGAAAATAGCTTCATAAAGCAGTGGTTCTCAACCTGTGGTCCCCAGATGTTTTGGCCTTCAAGTCCTAGAAATCCTAACAGCTGGTAAAGTGGCTGGGATTTCTGGGAGTTGTAGGCCAAAACACCTGGGGACCCACAGGTTGAAAACCACTGCCCCCAGATAGCAGTAAGTCTCTCAGTATGAAAATTATTAGCCCTAAAATTATTTGGGGGAAGATTTTTTAATAAATCTTGCCAAGAAAACTCCCCGATAGGTTCATTTTAGGATAGCCATAATTCAAAAATGACCTAAAGGCACACAATGCTGACAGTTAATTTGGTATAAAAGCAACAGGTTTGTGGGGCAGCTATGTCATTAAAGGCCCATTTACTTATGCAATGCCTTGTGGCAATTGCAAAACACATGCTATGAAAGATCTCGCAAGTAATTGCTGCAACCGATCCAACCATCTTGTCTACACCGTAGGATATACTTCCTTCAAATGGATAACCTGTTTGTCTACACGGAGGCCAAATTCTTCTGACACCAGATCAAAAACCTGCTTTATGTAGGAAATCAGTCAGTCATCTGTGGGGTATTCAACAGGCACCTAAGGCCATGGAAAATGTATATGTAACACTCTAAAATATATAGAGAAGAAACTGGGAAGCCACTCACAGTTATAAACAATTCTCAAAAGACTGAGCAAATTAATGTATGCTCTACAAATTTAAGTATACCGAATAACTGTTTTCTAGGGGCCCTTCCAGACAGGCCCTAAATCCCAGAATCTGATAATAATAAATAGTAATAAACTTTATTTATACCCCGCCACCATCTCCCCAATGGGACTCGGAGCGGCTTACATGGGGCCAAGCCCAGACAACATGTTACAGCAAAATAAAACCAGAACATAATTAACAAGTAACATCATCAAAATTACATAGAAAAAAAGTATAAACCCAGTAACAAAATAACATTCCAATAAACACAATTACGATAACAGTGGGCAGGCCCCATGTACAGGATAAAATGATTAAAAAACTAACGAGATAAAAATAGGAGCGGGTTATTTGCAGGGAGGCTACCTGTTTATCTGGCAGTGGAGACCCATATAATCCAGTTTAAATGTAGAACACCTGGGGTCAGATTCTAGGCTATAGGGCCTGTCTGGAAAGGCCCTAAAACAGTTGTTTTTAGAACCACCAGAGTCAAGCCCAATGTGAACTTGGGCTTAATCTCAAATATTCCCAGTATCTAACTGAGGTATAACCGTTGTCTGATTCTAAAAACAAGGTTGAGTTCTGGCCTTAGACAAAATCTGTAGGACCACATTTCAGGGAAAGGCACGAAGGGCATGAAGAGCCAGGTGCAAATCCATGATGATGAAAGGTAACCAATATGGAGGGTGGGAGTTTGTACCCCTCCATGTTCTTCTTCTTCAACAGCAGCAGGTCTGTATTGTTTCAGGCGCATGTTTATCATGGTTGGAGTGCTATTGGTATACAGTCCCATTCCCACATTTCAGCAGAATTTCCTCAGATCATGGCCACTACTGAAAACTAAGGACCTGCCATGTACCGAACTGTGTGATGGTGAAAACAATGACCAGGAAGGGATATTAGGAGGGCAGAGCAGGACGTGGCATCACTCACTTGATGGTGGAGGCCATGCTCTGTGCTTGCTGCTGGGTGCCGTTGTTGATGGCGTTGGGGTGCTTCAGCGGGTTGATCTGGGGTTGGCCCTGCGTGCCCCCTCCGCCACCTGGGCCCCCGCTGGGCTTGACGGGGCCCCGGAGCTGTCCGTTCTGGCTGGCGAGACCCATTATAACAGGGTTCTCTGTTCTGGCCGTACTCATGTTTGGATCTGCCAAAGTGTCTTTTGCAACTTCAAAACTTTCCTTTTTGAGTACGGAAACTGTAATAGTTTATTAGGCTCTCCAAGATGAAGAGATAAATTAGGTCCTGCTCAATAGGTTGAGTCCTTTTATTGCAACGAAGGCAAGCACCTGTAAAGTCACTCAAGAGTAAAGCAGTCACTTGCGCTGATGCAATGTGGAACAACTCTTTTTTTAAAAAGTCTTCTAACAAACTTGAGTTCTATCCCAAATCATTCACTTCAATCTGGAAAAAAAAGACAAGACAATGCCGTGAGCATCTGCAGCAGGTTGCGTAGGCTCCATCTTTTCAAAGAGACTGACGTCCATCTTGGGAACCCCTCAATAGGATTCCTTGATATTATAATCCATTTTTTTTCCAGAGGCATAAAGTGGTAAATGAAAAAATAAAGTTTGTGAAACCAGAGCATTTAAATTGTACACCAAATAAAAGGAACTATAACAACCTGATGAAATGGGCTGCACTCCATGAATATCTATCAATCCTCTCTATCTATACATATACACACTAGGCTTGGGCAATCCATGGTTCTAAATGGTTCTAAAGTACTTACAAAACTAAAGTTCTGGTGGTGAAAATTTCAGAACTCTAACAAAACTCTCAAAATTTCATAATAAATGGCAGTTCCTAATTGGTTCTGTCATTAAAATCACCAATAATGAAATAATAATTAAATTTTGAAAGTTTTGTTAGAGTTCTGAAATTTTCACCACCAGAACTTTAGTTTTGTAAGTACTTTAGAACCATTTAGAACCATGGATTGCCCAAGCCTAATACACACATGTCATAACAGGTTGGTTTCCAAGACTTTGTTACCATACTTGCAACAGACTAACATGGTTTACCTCTTTGTAGATACTAGACACAAGATTGCTAATTGTCTTCCTTTATAAGCAAGCCAGAAACTCATCAAAAACCATGGTCTGATTCTTTTGTTTTTGAAAAAGGCAACATTTTTGCCTTGCGCGAGAGGCCCTGACAAGTTCTCTTTTGTTTTTATTTATTTGTTTTCCTTTCCACTAAAAACTTTGCTGCAAAAGAAGCAAAAACTAGAGCTATTCCTTTGCCATGTAATGGGAATAAGAGGCAAGCCCAGAGAAATTTGTGTGACAAACAGTCAAATCGTATTTCCTGAAGGTGATACCTGAGCAAAAAGGGAGTGCTCTATGGCACTGGGAATGGCAGGAAAAACACATTTCGAGGGGAAATCAGTGCTAAATGGGAACCTGGATTAAGAACTGCCTCATCCAAGAAGATTGGGGCTCGTTTGTTACTTTTTCACAAACAACAAAGGGCCAAACGTCACCTCTTGGGATTTGTGAATTAAGAGGATTGCTATTAAAAATAGAATAGTGTTTATATAGCATTATCTCCATAGAGGCCGAATCAACAGATGACGAGAGTGAGGCCCATATAATAGCTTTGTGTTTCATTTGTGTGTTTGTTTGAGATGTAGTTCTGAAAGCTCTAGTCTTATATTAAGAAAACTGGCCTCCTTTGTATTGCCTTTTTTCCGTGAATGAAAATTAGTATCAAAAAAAGAAACTTGCTTAATTTTATATGATGATGGAAATCCAGTTTTGGTGGCATTGTCTTTGTTTTGTCATATATATTTTCTGAATAAAAAAGAGCAACAATCTGAATATCTGTCTACCTACATATAATTTATGTGTATATATATTAAATATAATATATACATGACATACAATATGTATATATTAAATGTAATATATCTATATAAAAATGTGTATTAAATATACATATTAAATACAGGATACATATTAAATATATTGCACACATCACTCACACACACCAATATATAAAACATTTTTATTTATATCCCGCCTTACTCCCCATGGGCACTCAAGGCAGCTAACATCTATCCACACTATCTATAATATTGTATTTTATATACCGTATATACTTGCGTATAAGCTGACCCGAATATAAGCCGAGGCACCTAATTTTACCACGAAAAACTGGGAAAATGTATTGACTTGAGTATAAGCCGAGGGTGGGAAATGCAGCAGCTACTGGTAAATTTCAAAATAAAAATAGATACCAATAAAATTATATTAATTTTGGCATCAGTAGGTTAAATGTTTTTGAATATTTACATAAAACTGTAATTCAAGATAAGACTTTCCAACTCTGAACCATTATTCTAACCTTCTTCAATGTAAATATGCTTACACGTCCTCCAATAATAATAAATAGAGTAAAATAATAATAGAGTAAAACAATAAACGTAATAACAATACAGTAAAGTAATAAATGTAACAATAACAATAATAGAGTAAAATAATAATAAATGTAATAATAACAACAATAAAATAATAAATGTAATAATAATAATAATAACAACAACAAAGTAAAATAGTAAATAATATTGACTCGAGTATAAGCCGGGGGACACTTTTTCAGCCTAAAAAAAGGATTGAAAAACTAGGCTTATACTCGAGTATATACAGTATATTAAATATAATATACATAATAATTCATTCTCGCCTCCCCCCCAAATATAATTGTATTTATATCTTGCCTTTCTCCCCATGGGGACTCAAGGCAACTAACATCCAGCCACACTAAATATATATATATATATATATATATATATATATATATATATATATCCCGCCTTTTCTCCCCATGCAGACTCAAGACGAGTAATATTTATCCTCACTAAATATACTATATATATTAAACATTATATATAATATAACATATATTTAATACAATATACTATACATACACACATATATAAATATATAAATTTATGTATATCGCTCCTTTCTCCCCATGGGACTCAAAGCGGCTAAAATCTATCCACACTAAAGAGTTTTTTAAAAACAATACAAAAGTTTAAAAACCAATAATAACAGTGAGGTAAAAACAAAACTAAAATACACTAATACACTAAAACAAAACAAACACACTAAAACAGCCTTTAAAACTCATATCCCCCATTCCCAATCCCAATTTATTCCTTTTATTTATTTATAGCTGGCTTTCTCTCTCCCTACAGAGACCCAAAGCAGCTCACAATCAAAAACATTACAAGTTCAAATACATAAATACACAATAATAAAACATATTATATTATATTACTATATTATCTGTAGTAATCATATTTAATATATTAGTATTACTATACTACAATATTGTAAACTGAGGTTCATGTTTCGATGGTTAGAAATAACTTTATGTTTTATGGTTAGATATAACTGTATAGTGCAACTTTGTTTGTGCAACTGTTTGTGCAATTTTAGATTTTATTTAAGAACTAGCAGTCCTCTGCCATGCGTTGCTGTGGCCCAGTCTGTGTACATGTGGTTTGTGTGTGTATATATGTGTGTGTTTGTGCATATATGTAGTTTTACACATTCGTTGTAATGTATTTTTTTGTTTTTTGGCTTTTTAAGTCCCTTCCACTGTGTTTTTCAGTGTTTTTATGAGCGATGGTCACTTGTTGGCCTGATAAGTGTATTGTGTCCAAATTTGGTGTCAATTCGTCCAGTGGTTTTTGAGTTATGTTAATCTCACAAACGACCATTACATTTTTATTTATATAGATGTAATATAAAATATATAATTATAATATTGTATTAGTAGTATTATATTATATTACATTACTAGCTGTCCCCTGCCATGCGTTGCTGTGGCCCAGTCTGTGTATATTTTTGTGTGTGTATATACATGTGTACTTGCGCATATGGTTTTGCACATGCGTTGTATTTTTTTTTGTTTTTTTTAAAGTCTCTTCTGCTGTGTTTTCCAGAATGATGGTCACTCGTTGGCCTGATAAGTGTCAGATCGTCCAGTGGTTTTTGAGTTATGTTAATCCCACAAATGAACATTACATTTTTATTTATATAGATAATATTATAAATATTATACGATGATACAATATATTATATTATTAGCATAGCACAGGAGACAAGTATTGGTATTATTTTTAGTATTATGTTAATAGTATATATTAGCATTATATTAGTATTACTATATGTATTTTTTGGTTTTTTTAAGTCTTTTCTGCTGTGTTTTCCAGTGTTTTTCAGAATGATGGTCACTCATTTGCCTGATAAGTGTCAGTTCGTCCAATGGTTTTTGAGTTTTGTTAATCCCACAAACGAACATTGCATTTTGTTTATATGGATAATATTATAAATACTAGCCATCCCCTGCCACACATTGCTGTGGCCCACATGGGGGTTCTGTGTGGGAGGTTTGGCCCAATTCTATTGTTGGTGGGATTCAGAATGCTCTGTGATTGTAGATGAACTATAAATCCCAGCAACTACAACTCCCAAATGTCAAGATTCTATTTTCCCCAAACTCCACCAGTGTTCACATTTGGGCATATTGAGTATTCTTGTAGAGTTTGGTCCAGATCCATCATTGTTTGAGTCCACAGTGATCTCTGGATGTAGGTGAACTACAACTCCAAAACCAAAGGACACTGCCCACCAAACCCTTCCAGTATTTTCTGTTGCTCATGGGAGAACTGTGTGCCAAGTTTGGTTCAATTCCATCGTTGGTGGGGTTCAGAATTCTTTGATTGTAGGTAAATTATAAATCCCAGCAACTACAACTCCCAAATGACAAAATCAATTTTTTTGAGTGAAGGACATACACTGGGTTGTTAAGTGTCTTGTGTCCAAATTTGGTGTCAATTCGTCCAGTGGTTTTTGAGTTCTGCTAATCCCACAAACGAACATTACATTTTTATTTATATAAGATTATTATATGAATATATATTATATTATTAGCTTAACACAGGGGACAAGTATTATTATTATTTTTAGTATTATGTTAATATTATTACATTTGTTAATTTAATTATTACATTTGGCCCGGCCATCCTTTTTTAAATTCTGTATGTTATTATTATTGTTATTGTTTATTGCTTATTGTGTACTTTTTGTTTTGAGTTTTATTTTTTTATTTTTAACTGTTTGTATTGATTATTTGTTATTACTTTTGTTTATTGATGTGCTGTGGGCTCCCTTGGGGAGATGGTAGCGGGGTACAAATAAAGTTATTATTATTATTATTATTAGCATTATATTAGTATTACTATATTGTTGTTATGCTATGTTTTTATTGAGACCTTGGCCTGTGTAAGCTGCATTGAGTCCTTCGGGAGGTACTAGCGGGGTACAAATAAAGTTAATAATAATAATAACAACAACAACTTTATTTGTACCCCGCTACCATCTCCTAATACAATATACAATTATTATTATTATATTAGCATTATATTAGTATTACTATATTGTTGTCATGCTATGTTTTTATTGAGGCCCTGTGTAAGCCACATTGAGTCCTTCGGGAGATGCTAGCGGGGAACAAATACAGTTAATAATAACAATAATAATAATTGTATATTGTGTATATTAACTGTTTTGTATTGATTATTGTTATTGCTTTTGTTTATTGATGTGCTGTGGGCTCCCTTGGGGAGATGATAGCGGGGTACAAATAAAGTTATTATTATTATTATATTAGCATTATATTAGTATTACTATAGTGTTGTATATTGTGGTTAATAATAAGAATAAGAATAATTGTATAATGTGTATATTCACTGTTTTGTATTAATTATTGTTATTGCTTTTGTTATTGATGTGCTGTGGGCTCCCTTGGGGAGATGGTAGTGGGGTACAAATAAAGTTATTATTATTATATTGGCATTATATTAGTATTAGTATAGTGTTGTATATTGTGGTTAATATAAGAATAATAATTGTATATTGTGTATACTAACTGTTTTGTATTGATTATTGTTATTGCTTTTGTTTATTGATGTGCTGTGGGCTCCCTTGGGGAGATAGTAGCGGGGTACAAATACTATTATTATTATTATTATTATTATTATTATATTAGCATTATATTAGTATTACTCTAGTGTTGTATATTGTGGTTAATAATAAGAATAAGAATAATTATATAATGTGTATATTCACTGTTTTGTATTAATTATTGTTATTGCTTTTGTTATTGATGTGCTGTGGGCTCCCTTGGGGAGATGGTAGTGGGGTACAAATAAAGTTATTATTATTATATTGGCATTATATTAGTATTAGTATAGTGTTGTATATTGTGGTTAATATAAGAATAATAATTGTATATTGTGTATACTAACTGTTTTGTATTGATTATTGTTATTGCTTTTGTTTATTGTTGTGCTGTGGGCTCCCTTGGGGAGATGGTAGCGGGGTACAAATACTATTATTATTATTATATTAGTATTACTCTAGTGTTGTATATTGTGTTAGGATACGCCCCTTCTGCAAAAAGAGTTCAGGGCGCAAACATAGGTCGGCTGCATCCCGAAATTGGGGATGGAGAGAAGAAATGGGGAGAGTTTGTGGGAGAAAAAGAAGGGGGAGCGGGAGGGGGCGGGAAGGCGAGGCCGAGCCAGGGTGCGTGCTGGGCGGGGAAGCGCGCCACGCGAGGCCGGGGATGCGCTTCCCCCGCTAGGCCGCACCTCCCTCAGAGAGTCAGGAGCGAGGCCTGACTCAGGAGGGACGTCTCTCCCTTTCGAGCCCCGACCGGAAGCGGCGCCATTTGCATTTCCCCCCGCTTCCTTCCCTGGCCTTCCCTCAGCGAGGCCTCCCTTCCCTCGTCAGGCCTCGAGCCTGGGTTGGAGCTTACCCGCCCGCGCCCGGCTGTGGCTCCTTCCTTCCCCCGGCTGCGGCCCCTGGGCTCCCCCCTCCGCTCTCGCGCTCCCGCGCCTCCGCCCTCGGCCGCTGGCTCCTTTCGGGACGATGGCGGCCTGGGAGGCGGCGGCGACGGCAGCGGCAGCAACAGCGACGCGACAACAAGATGGCCGCTCCCTCCCTCCTTCCTCCTCCTTCCCTTGCGTCCTTCCTCTCGCCCAGGCCCCGCCTACTGCCCACTGCGCACGCGCGCGTTGCGAAAAGGGGGCGGGGCGACAGGGCGGCTCGGGGCTCGCCTCTGAGTGGCTCGGGAGAGCTGCCGTGGGCGGGGCTTCGTGCGGGACACGCCCCCTTTTCGTTTTGTTTGGGTTGCAAGGGGAGGGAGGAAGGAAGCAGCCAGGTTCATCTCTTTTTGAATGGTGATGATGATGATGATGAGACCAGGGGTCAACCAGGGGTCCTCACACTCCTTAAACAGAGGGCCAGGTCACAGCCCCTCAAACTGTTGGAGGCCCTGATTATAATTCAAAAGGAAAATGAATGAATTCCTATGCACACTGCACATCTCTTATTTGTAGTGCAAAAAAAACAACACTTTAAAACTATACAGTAATTAAAATGAAGAACAATTTAAACAAATATAAAATTATGAGTATTTCAGTGGGAAGTGTGAGCCTACTTTTGGCTGATGAGATAGGATTGTTGTTGTGTGCTTTCAAGTTATTTCAGACTTAGGCTGACCCTGAGCGAGGGCCAGGCAAATGACCTTGGAGGGTCGCATCCGGCCCTCGGGCCTTAGTTTGAGGACCCCTGATCTAATCTACCTAATCTATCTATCTCTCCGAACGCATCTCCACCTATGAACCGACGCGGACACTAAGATCTTCCGGGGAGGCCCTGCTCTCGGTCCCGCCTGCATCACAGGCACGGTTGGCGGGGACGAGAGACAGGGCCTTCTCGGTGGTGGCCCCTCGGCTATGGAATGCCCTACCCATTGACATCAGACAGGCCCCTTCGCTGCTGGCGTTTCGAAAGAAGGTTAAAACCTGGCTCTTTGAGCAAGCGTTTGGCTAATCAGCGCAATCGAACATAGGATGACGGTAAATTGAACATAGGAATGGCACAAGGATTATGAGACTGGATTTTGCTTTGTGATCGAGGCATTATGAATGATTAATTGTGTATTTTGTTATTGTGTATGATGTGTTTTAATTGTTATTGTTGTGTTAATTTACATTGTGTAAACCGCATTGAGTCGCCTAATTAGGTTGAGAAACGCGGAATAGAAATAAAGCAAATAAATAAATAATAAATAAATAATGTAGTGGTTCTCAACCTTCCTAAGGCTGCGACCCCTTAATACAGTTCCTCATGTTGTGATGATCCCCAACCCTAAAATTATTTTCGTTGCTACTTAATAACTGGAATTTTGCTTCTGTTATGAATCGTCATGTAAATATCTGATAGGCAGGATGTATTTTCATTCTCTGGACCTTGGGAGTTGTAGTTGCTGGGATTTATAGTTCACCTACAATCAAAGAGCATTCTGAACTCCACCAGAGATGGAATTGACCCAAACTTGGCACACAGAATGCAAAAAATAATGAAAGAGGTAGGTGAGCATTGGCCTTGAGCTTGGGAGTTGTAGTTCACCTATCTCCAGAAAGCACTGTGGACTCAAACAATGATGGATCTGGACCAAACTCGGCATGAACCCTCAATATGCCCAAATGTGAACACTGGTGGAGTTTGGGGAAAATAGACCTTGACATTTGGAAGTTGTAGTTGCTGGGATTTATAGTTCACCTACAATCAGAGCATTCTGAACCCCACCAAGGATAGAATTGGGCCAGATTTCCCACACAGAACTCCCATAATCAGCAGAAAATACTGCATATCCTGATGGTCTTTGGTGACCCCTCCAACACCCCCTCGCAACCCCTCAGCGGTCCCGACCCCCAGGTTGAGAAACACTGATCTAATCTATCTATCTAATCTATCTATATCTATCTAATCTACCTATATCTATCTATCAATCTATCTATCTATATCTATCTATCTATCTAATCTATTTATATCTATCTATCTAATCTATCTAATTCATCTATATCTATCTAATCTATCTATCTAATCTATCTATCGAATCTATCTATCTAACCTATCTATCTATATCTATCTAATCTATCTATATCTATCTATATCTATCTATCTATCTATCTATCTATCTAATCTATTTATATCTATCTATCTAATCTATCTATCTCTATCTATCTATCTATCTATCTATCTATCTATCTATCTATCTATAAATGCTCTGTGCATAATGAGTACCTTAAAAACAAAAGACCAATGAACAAAACCACACCAAATTTGGCAACAAAATGTCTCACAACACAAGGAGTGACCATCACTCAAAAAATTATGATTTTGTCATTTGGGAGTTGTAGTTGCTGGGAGTTATAGTTCACCTGCAATCAAAGAGCATTCTGAACTCCACCAATGATGGAATTAAACCAAAGGTGACACACAGGACTCCCATGACCAACAGAAAATACTGGAAGGGTTTGGAGGGCAGTGTCCTTTGGTTTGGGAGTTGTAGTTCACCTACATCCAAAGAGCACTGTGGACTCAAACAATGATGGATCTCGACCAAACTTGGAACAAATACTCAGTATGCCCAAATGTGAACACTGGTGGAGTTTGGAGAAAATAACCTTGACACTTGGGAGTTGTAGTTGCTGGGAGTTATAGTTCACCTACAATCAAAGAGCATTCTGAAGTCCAGCAACGACGGAATTGAACCAGTCTTGGCACACAGTTCTCCCATGACCAACAGAAAATACTGGAAGGGTTTGGTGGGCACTGACCTTGGATTTTGGAGTTGTAGTTCACCTACATCTAGAAAGCACTGTGGACTCAAATAATGATGGATCTGGGCCAAACTCGGCATGAACCCTCAATATGCCCAAATATAAACACAGATGGAGTTTGGGGGTAATAGACCTTGACATTTCAGAATCGTAGTTACTGGGATTTATAGTTCACCTACAATCAAGGAGCATTCTGAACCCCACCAGCAATAGAATTGGGCCAAACATCCCACATAGAGCCCCCATGACCAACAGAAAATTCTGTGTTTCCTGGTGGTCTTTGGTGACCTTTCTGACACCCCCCTGGTGACCCCCCCTCCCCCGGGTATTGACTTCCCAGGTTGAGAAATGCTGCCTTAAGGCCATCCAGTCCAACTCCCTTCACCAGGGCAAGAAAACATAATCAAAGTCCTCCTGACAAAGAGCCATCCAGGAATTCACACACACACACATATATGTATATGACAGATGCAGTATCCTAGATTTGAAAGGGACCCCTAAAGAAGGACAATGATATGTTGCATGTTCCAGGGTGGGCAAACCAGACACTCTCCACATCAACACTGACAAAGAAACAACAAGAAATACTGTTTACCCACAAGCATAAAGAAATTACATATATTAGAAACCAACACTTTCTCATTACTTTATTTTCCAGATCACCAGACCGGGCCACAGCAACACGTGGCAGGGGACCGCTAGTTATATATATATATATGTGTGTGTGTGTGTGTGTGTGTGTGTGTTGTTCATTCGTTCACTCGCCTCCGACTCTTCGTGACCTCATGGACCAGCCCACGCCAGAGCTCCCTGTCGGCCGTCACCACCCCCAGCTCCTTCAAGGTCAGTCCAGTCACTTCAAGGATGCCATCCATCCATCTTGCCCTTGGTCGGCCCCTCTTCCTTTTGCCTTCCACTTTCCCCAGCATAATTCTCTTCTCTAGGCTTTCCTGTCTCCTCATGATGTGGCCAAAGTACTTCAACTTTGTCTCTAGTATCTTTCCCTCCAGTGAGCAGCCGGGCTTTATTTCCTGGAGGATGGACTGGTTGGATCTTCTCGCAGTCCAAGGCACTCTCAGAACTTTCCTCCAACACCACAGTTCAAAAGCATCTCTCTTCCTTCGCTCAGCCTTCCCTAAGGTCCAGCTCTCACATCCGTAGGTGACTACAGGGAAGACCATGGCTTTGACTAGGCAATGGATCTTTGTTGCCAGTCTGATGTCTCTGCTCTTTACTATTTTATCGAGACTGGACATTGCTCTCCTCCCAAGAAGGAAGCGTCTTCTGATTTCCTGGCCACAGTCTGCATCTGCAGTCATCTTTGCGCCTAGAAATACAAAGTCTGTCACGGCCTCCACGTTTTCTCCCTCTATTTCCCAGTTGTCAATCATTCTTGTTGCCATAATCTTGTTTTTTTTTATGTTTATATATATTGCATTTGAATTCATACAAGAAAAAAAAGGGAAAAAGGATGGATTTTAATCTATTTTTAAAATTTAAATCTATTTTGTTGAATTTATACAAAAGAGAAAAAAGGAGGCAGTTTAATCTATTTTTTAAAAGTAATTTCTGTGCAGTTGAATTCATAGAAGGGAGGGGAAAAGTTGGCAGTTTATTTAAAAATTTATATAATTTTTTTGCATTTGAATTCATACAAGAAAGAAAGGAAAAAAATATAAAAGGATGGATTTTAATCTATTTTTAATTTTAAATCTATTTTAAATCTATTTTGTTGAATTTATACAAAAGAGAAAAAAGGGAGGCAGTTTAATCTATTTTAAAAAATAATTTCTATGCAGTTGAATTCATAGAAAGGAGGGGGAAAGTCTTATTTAATTTATTATTAAAGTTGGCAGTTGAATTTATTTTAATAATTGGAATTATTTTGCGATGGTTTTTAACTTTGAATTTGCTTTAATAGCGTTTACCTGGGAATTTTTTAATACTGTTTAAATTAATCGTTAAGTCAATCAGGAATATATTTACATGCCGCCACATTGCATTCCTGGGGTTTATTTTATTATGTATTTATTTTGATGGTATTTTTGCTTTTTGTATTTTATTTTGCTGTACTTGATTTGTGTTTGGGCGCTGCTGCTGCGTTTGGTGGTCCCTATGTAGATGAATCATGGAACATGGAAGGCACTGCAGACTCCTTCAACCAGAGAAGTCAGGCATAGAAGAGCACCTGAAGAACCAACCTGGACACAGCACATTATTTGAGAACACAGAAATGCTGGACCACTCCAACAACCACCATGTCAGACTACACAGAGAAGCCATTGAAATCCACAAGCATGTGGACAATTTCAACAGAAAGGAGGAAACCATGAAAATGAACAAAATCTGGCTACCAGTATTACAAAACTCTAAAATTAGAACAGCAAAACAAGAGGAAACAAACAAGGGCATCTAATCACCTCTCAACAAAAGTTTGCTCTAGGCACTGGCAAGCCATTATATGCTAATCAAGGTGATCAGTGGAAACATTCACACCTAGCTCCAGCAGACAAGAGTCCTTTGTCCCACCCTGGTCATTCCACAGATATATAAACCCTTTTTCCTAGTTCCAACAGACCTCACTACCTCTGAGTATGCTTGCCATAGATGATATTTATTTATTTTTTATTTATTTGGAAGATTTCTATACCGGCCTTCTCACCTCAACCGAGGGACTCAGGTCGGTTTACAGCATATATGCAATTACAAAATATACAAATACAACCGAGTGCAACATCATTAAGGATTAAAACAACACAGTAAAATACAATAAAACATCATCATTACAATTACCCAGGCCAGAACGTCAATACAATCGCAGTCGTAGTCATAGTCACAGTTCATTAAAGATTCAGTCCTCAAAAGCCACATTCCAGAGCCAGGTCTTTAGTAATTTCCTGAAAGTCAGGAGGGGGGGGGGCAGATCGAATCTCCAGTGGAAGGGAGTTCCAGAGCCGGGGAGCCACCACCGAGAAGGCCCTCTCGTCCCCACCAACCGTGATTGCGAGGGTGGTGGGACCGAGAGCAGGGCCCCCCCGGAAGATCTTAATAGCCTTGATGGCTCATAGGGGAGAATCCGTTCGGACAGGTAAACTGGGCTACATCTGAGGATGCTTGCCATAGATGCAGGCGAAACGTCAGGAAAGAATGCCTCTAGACCATGGCCATATAGCCCAAAAAAACCTACAACAACCCAGTGATTCCGGCCATGAAAGCCTTTGACAAGGCCTCCTTCTGTCTCCTTCTTCAGGGTTCCATTCGTGAGCCATCACCAGGTCTTCTCCTTGTCAACTCCCAGCAGGTCCAACCAAGCCAGAGAAGTCCCAGCTGAGGAGTCGAACCAAGAGCACCTAACCCATTAGCGTTATGGAGGAGCAAACCAAAACGAAATCTATCCTGGCTCGGTCGGGGCTCAGGATAAAAAGGACCGTGGTGGATGCTGCTGATTCTGGACATCTATCAACAAGTGGGCTACAGAATCAAAATAACAATCACAGAAGCGGCAGAAATATACAATGCCAGAAAACCACACTATTATTATTATTATTATTATTATTATTATTATTAGCCACCCCCTGCCATGTGTTGCTGTGGCCCAGTCTGGTGATCTGGAAAATAAATAATGAGAAAGTGTTGGTTTCTAATATATGCAATTTCTTTATGCTTGTGGGTAAACAGCACTACTTGCTGTTTTTTTGTCAGTATTGATGTGGAGATTGTCTGGCTTGCCCACGCTGGAACATGCAACATATCATCGTCCTTCTTTAAGGGTCCCTTTCAAATCTATGATACTATATCTCCATGTGCGTGAATCATATTGCTATCTATATCTATGGCTGGATGGCTCTTTGTCGGGAGGGCTTTGATTACGTTTTCTTGCCCTGGTGAAGGGAGTTGGACTGGGTGGCTTAAGTATTTTCTGTTGGTCATGGGGGTTCTGTGTGGGAAGTTTGCCCCAATTCTGTCGTTCATGGGGTTCAGAATGCTCTTTGATTGTAGGTGAACTATAAATCCCAGTAACTACAACTCCCAAATGTCAAGGTCTATTTCCTCCAAACTCCATCTGTGTTCATATTTGGGCGTATGGAATATTTGTGTCAAGTTTGGTCCAGATCCATCATTGTTTGAGTCCACAGTGCTCTCTTGATGTAGGCGAACTACAACTCCCAAACTCAAGGTCAATGCCCACCAAACCCTTCTAGTGTTTTCTGTTGGTCAAGGGAGTCCTATCTGCCAAGGTTAGTTCAATTTCATCATTGGTGGAGTTCAAAATGCTCTTTGATTGTAGATGATCTATAAATCTCAGCAACTACAACTCCCAAATGTCAAGGTCTAATTTCCCCAAACTCCACCAGTGTACATTTGGGCATACTGAGTATTCGTGCCAAGTTTGGTCCAGATCCATCATTGTTTGAGTCCACAGTGCTCTCTGGATGTAGGCAAACTACAGCTCCCAAACTCAAGGTCAATGCTGATCAAACTCTTCTAGTGTTTTCTGTTAGTCAAGGGAGTCCTATCTGCCAAGATTAGTTCAAATTCATCATTGGTGGAGTTCAAAATGCTCTTTGAATGTAGGTGAACTATAAATCCCAGCAACCACAACTCCCAAATGTCAAGGTCTATTTCCAAACTCCATCTGTGTTCATATTTGGGCATATGGAATATTCGTGCCAAGTTTGGTCCAGATCCATCATTGTTTGAGTCCACAGTGCTCTCTGGATGTAGGTGAACTACAACTCCCAAATCTCAAGGTCAATTTCCCCCAAACCCTTCTGGTGTTTTCTGTAGGTCATGGGAGTTCTGTCTGCCACGTTTGGTTCAATTCCATCGTTGGTGGAGGTCAGAATGCTTTTTGATTATAGGTGAACTATAAATCCCAGCAACTACAACTCCCAAATGACAAAATCAATTTTTTTGAGTGAAGGACATACCTTGGGTTGTTAGGTGTCTTGTGTCCAAATTTGGTGTCAATTCATCAGTGGTTTTTGAGTTCTGTTAATCCCACAAACGAACATTACATTTTATTTATATAGATGATGATGATGATGATGATGATGATGATGATGATGATGATGATGATGATGATGATTGCAAGACCTGTTCCTTAGGGAAATCTCATCCAACAAGTGGGGACAAAAGAGCTCCTTGACCCAGCCTAGAATTTGCCATGCCTTAATTAGTAGTGGTCCTCAACCTTCCTAACGCCGCGACCCCTTATGACACTCCCTCATATTGTGGATTTTCGTTACTACTTCACAACTGTGCTTTTGCTCCTGTTATGAATCATCATGTAAATATCTGATATGCAGGGTGTATTCTCATTCACTGGACCAAATTTGGCACAAATACCCCATACGGCCAAATTTGAATACTGGTGGGGTTGGGGAGAGATTGTCATGTGGGAGTGGTAGTTACTGGGATTTGTAGTTCACCTACAAAGAGCATTCTGAACTCCACTGACAATGGAATTGAACCACACTTGACACACAGTTATCCCATGACCAACAGAAAATATTGGAAGAGTTTTGGAGTTGTAGTTCACCTACATCCAGAGAACACTGTGGACTCAAACAATGAGGGTTCTGGACCAAACTTGGCACAAAGACTCAATATGCCCAAATGTGAGCACTGATGGAGTTTGGAGAAAATAGATATTTGGGAGTTTGTAATTGCTGGGATTTATAGTTCACCTACAATCAAAGAGCATTCTGAACCCCACCAATGATGGAATTGAACCAAACTTGGCACACAGGACTCCCATGACCAATAGAAAATACTGGAAGGGTTTGGTGGGCAGTGTCCTTTGGTTTTGGAGTTGTAGTTCACCTACATCCAGAGAGCACTGTGGACTCAAATAATGATGGATCTGGACCAAACTCTACACAAATACTCAATATGCCCAAATGTGAACATTGGTGGAGTTTGGTGAAAATAGAATCTTGACATTTGGGAGTTGTAGTGGCTGGGATTTCTAGTTCACCTACAATCAAAGCACATCCTGAACCCCACCTATGATAACATTGGGCCAAACTTCCCACACAGAACCCCCATGATCAACAGAAAATACTGGAAGGTTCTGGTAGGCATTGACCTTGACTTTGGGAGTTGTAGTTCACCTCCATCCAGAGAGTACTGTGGTCTCAAACAATGATGGAGCTGGAACAAACTTGGCATGAATACTCATTATGCCCAAATGTGAACACTGGTAGAGTTTGGGTAAAATAGACCTTGACATTTGGGGGTTGTAGTTGCTGGGATTTATAGTTCACCTACAATCAAAGCGCATTCTGAACCCCACCAACGATAGAATTGGGCCAAACTTCCCACACAGAACTCCCATGATCAACAGAAATTACTGTGTTTTCTGATAGTCTTTGGTGACCCCCCTTGTGACCCCCTCCAGGAGTCTTGACCCCAAGGTTGAGAAATGCTCTCTTATGTATAAATCGCCTTGAGTCCCCTTCAGAGTTGAGAAAGACGGGGTATAAATAGGGTCAATAAATAAATATAGCAAGAGTAATGGGATAATTTTAGAAACCCACTACTTCATCTTCTTTTGGTGATGGAAATGGCCGAATTTGCTTTGCAAATGAGCTCGAGTAGTGCGTGTTCCTCATCTGGATCTTCCTCACTTGCAGTCCTTCAAGGCGCTCCACACAAGCCATGGCTGACTATAGCATCGCCATGGAGGACATCATGGACATGGTATGTTTGGGGTCTTGAAGGGGGCAAGCGGGAAGGGGCAGGAGGGCGGAGGATGTGGGCTTAAGGTCCCCAAGGGCCCCTCGAGGCTCAAGGAGAAGCTTTGGGGCCCTTCGTGCTGCATCTCATAGGGAATCTTTCCACAGTTTTGGCTGCAGAACTACATCTCCATTTGTATCATCCCAGGGTTAATAAGGTAACTTGTATATGTGTGCGTAACATCAGGCAGGCTTTTATGTCAGTGGTGCATCCACATTTGCTATTGCTATGTGGGCTTCTTTCCAAGCACTGCTTGGACTGATGCTGGCTGACGTCTCTCCCAATAGCTTCCCATCCACGCTCTGCCCACGCTTAGCTTCCCAACGCTGGCACTTCCAGACGTGTTGCCCAAAGTGACAACCATGCAAGGCTGTAGCAATGTCTCCCTCTTTATAAGACCCTTGCCTTTCCCAATGAATTCCCTCAAATTCTGGCATCACCTAACACATCAGCTCAGCCTATGCAAGTACAGGTGGGGCATCACCAGAAAAGCTTTGACTCTGTGGAAAAGAAGGGGAGCAAGATATAAATTGGGCACCTGCAAATTTGGGCCCTCCCTCTAGGTGTTTTGGACTGCAACTCCCACCATTACTAACAGCCTCAGTCCCTTTCCTTTTCCCCCTTGGCAACCTCAGTCCCTTCCCTTTCCCTCGCAGCCTCAGTCCCTTTCCTTTTCTTCCTTGGCAGCCTCGATCCCTTTCCTTTTTCCCCTCACCAGCCTCGGTCCCTTTCCCTCTTGGCAGCCTCAGTCCCTTTCCTTTCCCCCCTCTGCAACCTCCCTTTCCTTTTCCCCCTCAGCAGCCTCAGTCCCTTTCCTTTTCCCCCTCGGCAGCCTCAGTCCCTTTCCTTTTCCCCCTCGGCAGCCTCAGTCCCTTTCCTTTTCCTTTGGCAGCCTCAGTCCCTTTCCTTTTCCCCCTTGGCAGCCTCAGTCCCTTTCCTTTTCCCCTTTGGCAGCCTCAGTTCCTTTCCTTTTCCCCCTCGGCTGCCTCGGCCCCTTTCCTTTCCCCCTTGCAACCTCATTCCCCTCTCTTTTCCCTTCGGTAGCCTCCGTTCCTTTCCTTTTCCCCCTCGGCAGCCTCAGTGTCTTCTCTTCCCCTCGGCAGCCTCAGTCCCTTTCCTTTTCCCTTTCAGCAGCCTCGATCTTTTCCTTTTCTCCCTCAGCAGCCTCAGTCCCTTTTCTTTTCCCACTGCAACCTTAGTCCCTTCCCTTTTTCCTTCGGCAGCCTCAGCCCCTTTCCTTTTCCTCCTCGGCAGCCTCAGTACCTTTCCTTTTCCCTTTCAGCAGCCTCAGTCCCTTTCTTTTCCCCCCTCAGCAGCCTCAGTTCCTTTCCTTTTCCCTTTTGGCAGCCTCAGTCCCTTTCCTTTTCCCTTTTGGCAGCCTCAGTTCCTTTCCTTTTCCCTTTTGGCAGCCTCAGTCCCTTTCCTTTTCCCTTTTGGCAGCCTCAGTTCCTTTCCTTTTCCCTTTTGGCAGCCTCAGTCCCTTTCCTTTTCCCTTTTGGCAGCCTCAGTTCCTTTCCTTTTCCCTTTTGGCAGCCTCAGTCCCTTTCCTTTTTCCCCTTTGCATCCTCAGTCCCTTTCCTTTCCCCCTCGGCAGCCTTAGTCCCTTCCCTTTTCCCTTCGGCCGCCTTAGTCCCTTTCCTTTTCCTCTTTAGCCAGATAAGTGGCTGTGGGGGAAAAAAGAAAGGGGCCTGAGGCTGTTAGGAATGGTGGGAGTTGCAGTCCAAAACACCTGGAGGGAGGGCCCAAGTTTGCCCACTATGACTAATAAGTGACCCAGGGAACAATGAGAACACGGTAAGGACAAAGGTTCTTCCTGTGAGCGAACTGCTGGGAAATTTCATTTGGGGAGTGGGGCGGTATCCTTGTTTCAGTGCCCCCACCCCTTGAGCGCTGGACCCCTAACCAAGGGGTGCCAGGAACAGGAAAGCAGAAGAGGCTCCAGGTGAGTAAAAATGGGGCGGAGGGGAAGAAGAAGAAGAAGAGGCGGGCCGGATGTGGCGGTCGGTCGGGGTGCAACAGGAAAGTCTTCGCTGCAGAAGTGGTCGGGTTGGAACTTTGCAGTTTGGTGAGATTTCCGCTGAACGCAGGACCCCAGAAGACCACAAGCCAGTCTCCTGGGAGGGGAAAGGGCAGGGTTTTCTTCATGTAGATCATCATGATAGAGGAGGGGAGCAAAGCCCGGAAACAGGCTTTGAAAGAGCAACCATTCGTATATACCAGTGGTTTTCTTGACCAGGAACCACATAACCAGGGGACACTTTGACCAGGGGCCACTCTCCAACATTGGTACCAAAAGGGTTACGAATCAGTTTTTGGTCAACTTTAGATTCAGTTTGGTTATTTGGGGTGCAGATTCAGAAAATTGCATTGGAGAGACCACATCAGCTCTAGTTTCTGATACAGAACATATGCCATCCAGTAGTTGCCATCTGCTCGCCCAGAGAAAACCCTATCTATCTATCTATCTATCTATCTATCTATCTATCTATCTATCTATCTATCTATCTATCTATCTATCTATCTATCTATCTGTATATATATCTATCTATAGCATAAGGAAGAAAAGCTTGTTGGTGAAGTAATAAGACAGTGTTTCTCAACCTTCCTAATACCGTGACCCCTGAATACAGTTCCTCATGTTGTGGTGACCCCAAACCATAACATTATTTTCATTGCTACTTCATAACTAATTTTGCTCCTATTATGAATCGTAATGGAAATATCTGATATGCAGGATGCATTTTCATCCACTGAACCAAATTTGGCAGAAATACCTGACACGTCCAAATTTGAATACTGGTGGGGTTGCGGGGTAGGAACTAATTTTGTCATTTGGGAGTTTTAGTTGCTGGGATTTATAGTTCACCTACAATCAAATAACATTCTCAACTCCACCAGCAATGGAATTGAACCAAACTTGGCACACAGAACTCCCACGACAAACAGAAAATACTGCAAGGGTTTGGTGTGCATTGACCTTGAGTTTTGGAGTTGTAGTTCACCTACACCCAGAGAGCACTGTGGACTCCAACAATGATGGATCTGGACCAAACTTGGCACAAATACTCAATATGCACAAATGTGAAGTTTGGGGGAAATAGACCTTGACATTTGGGAGTTGGGATTTATAGTTCACCTACACTCAAAGAGCATTCTGAACCCCTCTGGCGACAAAATTGGGCCAAACTTCCTACACAGAATTCTCATGCCTTGAAGAGATTTGCCGATGTGAGCCTCCCTCCAACCTTGCATTCTCTCCCTTGCCTACGCAGGCATGCCACGCTGCCATGCGCCAAGCATGCCTGCTCTCCTCCGCTGACATGGAGTCTCAGAAACAGCCCTCCCAATGATGGATCCGGACCAAACTTGGCATTTTCAATATGCCCAAATGTAACACTGGTGGAGTTTGGGGAAAATATACCTTGACATTTGAGAGTTGTGGGCCAAACTTCCCATACAGAACCCCCATAACCAAGAGAAAATACTGTGTTTTCTAGTGGTCTTTGGTGACCCCTCTGACACCCTCTTGTGACCCCTCCGGGGGTCGCGACCCCCAAGTTGAGAAACGCTGCAATAAGACATTTTACTCAATTCTTGCAAAAGAGAGACACAAACAAACAAAGCCCAGCACACTTTCATGCTGATGCAGTGGGTTAAACCGTTGAGCTGCTGATTGAAAGGTCAGTGGTTTGAATCCGGGGAGTGGGGTGAGCTCCCGTTGTTAGCCCCAGCTTCTACCAACCTAGCAGTTCAAAAACAATAGGTACCTCTTTGGCAGGAAGGTAACGGTGCTCCATGCGGTCATGCCAGTGGCCACATGACCTTGGAGGTGTCTACGGACAACGCTGGCTCTTAGAAATGGAGATAAGCATCAACCCCCAGAGTCGGACACAACTGGACTTAATGTCACGGGAAAACCTTTCCCTTTACTAGCAGTACTAATGGGACCGAGGCACAATTTGGGATTTAGAACATGCCCGGCGTGTGCAACAGGGACATATGATGCACACATGTAAACACACCCAGTGAACTGATAGGGACAGCAGCTAGTTAAGGTTTTCAATGAGTTTTCTTACAAGCTATTGTAAGCAAGGATTTGGGCCATGGTCTACACCAGGCATGGTCAAACTTGGGCCCTCCAGGTGTCTTGGACTCCAACTCCCACAATTCCTTTATTTTTTCCCCTTCAGCCACTTAAGGAAGGGGCCTCTCTTCTCTCTCTCTCTTAGGCGATCCCTCATTTTCCGAGGATGATTGTCTTCCAATATTCTTGTGGGTCCGTATGTGGCTGTGGAGCCCTATTCTTGCTCTGCATCTTCTTCCGCAGGGAGGGCATTGGTTTCCAGGTGGAAGGCGGTCTCGGTCGGGGTTGGCTTGACGCCTTCCTCTTGGCACGCTTCTCCCTTTCGCCCTCCATTCGTGCCTCTTCGAATTCTGCAGCACTGCTGGTCACAGCTGACCTCCAGCTGGAGCGCTCAAGGGCCAGGGCTTCCCAGTTCTCAGTGTCTATGCCAGAGTTTTTAAGGTTGGCTTTGAGCCCATCTTTAAATCTCTTTTCCTGTCCACCAACATTCTTTTTTCTTCTTGAGTTCGGAGTAGAGCAACTGCTTTGGGAGACGGTGGTCAGGCATCCGGACAACGTGGCCGGTCCAGCAGAGTTGATGGCAGAGGACCATTGCTTCAATGCTGGTGGTCTTTGCTTCTTCCAGCACGCTGACGTTTGTCCGCTTGTCTTCCCAAGAGATTTGCAGGATTTTCCGGAGGCAGCGCTGATGGAATCATTCCAGGAGTTGCATGTGACGTCTGTAGACAGTCCACGTTTCGCAGGCGTATAGCAGGGTTGGGAGGACAATAGCTTTATAGACAAGCACCTTGGTCTCTCTATGGATGTCCCGGTCCTCAAACACTCTCAAACATTCGGAAAAATGCTGCGCTCGCAGAGCTCAGGCGGTGTTGTATTTCGG